CAAAATGACAGCATGACAAGGCTGCATACATGTTTACATTGTACAAGCAAAAGATATCTGAATCAAAATAATGCTGGTTTTGGAGTGACATATTTAGATTTAATACAATATTCACTCTTTTTCCAAGTGAAAAAAATCATTGGATTCCTATCCCAAATCCAGTTATAAGGGAGAAAGCCTAGTCCAACAATGAATAGCTGGTTTTCACAACCCTCATTTTCAATTATTTAAAAGGAGTAATTCTACTATGGTAATACTACTAAAAGAGCCAGAGCTCACGTAAATTGGATTTCAGAGCTCAGAAATGAAATTATGAAGTTGAGGTTTAGTGCACTGAGAGGACACCAGGTTCAGGAAGTCTGAACTAAAGGTTACATCTTTTTTTAAAAAAATTCTCATTATTATCTTCTCTCTACACTAAATATCCTCTTAGACTTGGTAATAGCTATAGGCTTACAGAAAGATAATAATCCCTTTAAAAGATTTACCGTATTTTCTGGCGTATAAGATGACTTTCTAAACCATTCAAATCGTCTCCAAAGTCGGGGGTCGTCTTATACGCCGAGTCGTCTTATACGCCGGAAAATACAGTAGATGAAATCACGAGTCTGTTCAAATATTTGTAAAATAACATATTCACCGAGAAGAGCCGAGGTGGCGCAGCAGTTAGAGTGCAGTACTGCAGGCCACTTTAGCTGACTGTGTTCAGCAGGTCAGCGGTTCAAATCTCACCGGCTCAAGGTTGACTCAGCCTTCCATCCTTCCGGGGTAGATAAAATGAGGACCCAGATTGTTGGGGGCAATGTAAATATATATATACATTGCTTACTGGTGTACACCGCTTAGAGAGTGCTTGCACTTAAAGCAGTATACAAGTCTCATAAATAAATAAAATAAATAAATAAATACAATTCCAACATCATTTAACCATACACTTACCATATCCCAGGAATCATTCAGCAGATTAGATTTGTATGCTTCTTCTTCGCCTACCAAAAGCATGGGCTCCGACATTGGTAGGTACAAATGTGTTCTTTCCCACACCTCCTGATCTGTTCAGGAAATCTGCCAAACGATGGGTCACACAAGTTGCCGTGTTGCATGCTCGCTTTTGTGCTGTTGCGCTGTTTTTTTTTTTTCAAAAAAAGAAAAAGAAATTAAGAGTTAAGATCTTTGATGTAAACCTCTGATTTAAACCTTATCTTATTTTATAAAATAATGTGTTGTGTTGCCTGCTACCTAATCCCAGCCTCTCCCCTAACGTATGTTGGCAAAATCTCAAGAATGCCAAGTAATTTTATGTGATGGTGAATGGAAAAGACTTCTGAAGGGTCCTTGGTGCTCTCTGAGCTTGCTTGTTTTCTTGCAGATGTTTCATTACCCAAACTAGGTAACATCATCAGTGCTAGTCCTAGACCTAGAAAATACTTCTACTTTCTTAACATACCAGGGAGTATAGAAAAAACCAAATCGTTGCACATTCTTCCCCAACCTAGCAAAATCCGGAACTCTAGGGAGGATAACGTACAGCTTTTCTAAGAGGGCCCAAACCCTGGATTTCCAAGAATTGCAGTCCTGTAGCATCAGGGTTGGTCAAAGCCACGGCATATGAGGGCTGTTGCCTTCATCTCCTGGGTCTACATTTCCTAATGTAATACCATTTCTGGGCATATAAGATATCAGTGTGGTCTAAATCAGGGGTAGGCAACTTTGGCTCTTTTATGACTCGTGGACTTCAACTCCCAGAATTCCTGAGCCAGCATGGCTGGCTCAGGAATTCTGGGAGTTGAAGTCCACGAGTCATAAAAAAGCCAAGATTGCCTACCCCTGGTCTAAATGATACATGATATATTTGTCTGATATTAGATTGACCATGGCTGTGATCCAACTTGTTTTTTCTGTTGCTCATCTCTGACAAAAATCAGTCTCATTGATTTGAATGTTTAACTTAGCCAAGATTGTTCCCACAATGAATACAAAAAAAAATGTATAAGTCAGTGTTTAAATTACAGGCATACTCTGTAATTTTGGATTCTCTTGCATTAAATTATCTTCAGGCTGTTATGTCAAATTAAAATAAGTGACTTCTTCATGAACAATCAAATACATAAATAGAAATATAAGATTAAAATTCTTACCTGGGGGAAGTCAAACAGAATAAAAGTTTTGTAACTGAACAACGTTGTTCACATTTGGAAACCAGTTGTTGTGTTTCTACATTTCTGAACAGATTTGTAAGTTCATACTATCAAACTCAGTGTGATCCCTTTTACTGACTTCATTGGATAAAAGTTATCATCTTACTGGTTCATCCAGAACTAATCAGATATGTACCGTAGCTCTTTCAAAACACTCTTAATTAAGCAAAAACTTGCAAACATCCATATTGTCTTCCTTATAGCTGGATGAAAACTCTTTAAATTTTGCTACAAACCCCACATTTTAAAAATGGTATAAATAATGTGTAATCAGGACATAGACCTATTCCTTATAGAAAAATAGATTTATTGAACAGTTGCATGATTGGGCATGAAAGAAACATTTATTTCATTTTTTACAATGAGTACCGTAGCCTCAAATAAAAAAATGATGCTTTCTTATTATTCATAAAATAAGAATCTAAAAAAAAAACCAATTGAAAATTCAAGGCAATATTTTATTCCGATGCACTTTGAATTTGGCTTCTGCTTTTCCCAGCTCCCTACAACAGTGTACGGGTGTGCATTTTGTCCTTAATTTCCTAACAACTTGGACTTTGCTCTACTCCAAGCGTCTCAGATCTAAAAGAACACAGCAAAGTTAGCAGTGAAGGTTAGATCCACATCATGCATCAAGTTAAATAAAAGAAGGAAACAAAGAAAGAGGAAAAAATAAAATCAAAGAGGAAGCCGGGCCCATCTAGTTGCTTCCGCGGGGCTTCCTCAGTAGTTTGCATAGCGTTCATTTTCCAGCTCATTCAACACATTCCTTTTCTTGCCAGGCGTTCCAGCCCCGACGTCAGTACGAGGGTATGTTTGCAACTTGTGCAATTCTTGAGACAGTTTGCCCAGCACACAAGTGCTCAGGTTGGCACAACGTTTGGAAATAGGTCTATCCAAGCTGCAAAGGGGGAAAAACATGCTGAACAAAGTAACCGGGAGGGGGGGGGGGAGAAAAAAAAGGAAAGCAAGAAAACACATGCGTAGTCATGCCTTATCCCTCTCCCCTCTCCACGCGCTCCTCCCCCCCCCCCCACAAAGAACTCCTCAGAGCCTCTTATTCGATACAAGCCCATCTCCACGCCGTGCCTAGAGGCGCAAGCCTCATGCAATGTCAATCCGAAGAAACGTTGGAGCAGGGGGTAGGAGGCGCCAGTGAGCCATTGCCCGAACAAACAAACGAGTTAGGGAAGGGGGGGGGACGTTGGGAGTGTTAGCAATTCCGGGGTGGGGGGGAGGGTAATGCATGCGTCGCTGAGGCTCAACCATTCCTCATGCTTCACCGGGGGAGTTCAGTAGGAAACCGCAGGTGGCAGCGGGAAGCCTGGGCCGGTCAGGAAAGGGGGCGCTACGTGCAAGTAATCTTTTTTCCTTCCTCCCATGTCAAAGGTCCTTCTCGCTCTCCGCCACCTCCCTCTCCACGGCCACTAAGGCCGGGAAGAAGGACTGAGTCCGGGCGGGCTCGGTTCTTAAGGAAGGGGAGGAGGGGGAAACAGAAAGGAAAAAATCCAAGACCTACCTCTGGCTCTCCCATTTTATTAAAAAAAAAAAAAAAAAAACTTTCTTTTCTTTCTTTTCGTGTGCATGTGGTTGCATATGTGTGTACATACATACATTGTACGACAGTTGTAGATCCGTAGTCAACCGACGGATAAACGGATATACTTAAGTAAGTTGGCAAGCAAAATGAGCGGAGAAGCGAGGCCCCACCACTCGGATCGCCCATCCTAGGTCGTTGCAAGGCGCCTGGTCGGAAGTCGGGGAAAGGCATCCTCGCGAGGCAAAAGATGCCGGCTGATTGCCCACCACGAAGGCGCTCTGCCTCCCCCCTCCCCTCCCTCGCCAGGCTGGTATCCGGGAAGGAGACGAGGGGAGGGTGCAACGACGCTTTGGAAGCCGAGAGCTTCTTACCTACTGCCTTCGCTGCTCTGGAGCGGGTCTTCCGCGGTCATCTGGACGTATTCCTTCACCAGGGCGTTGAGTAACCGCCGAGCTTCATAGTCCCCCAGGGCGTCTCGGTCGGCGACAGGCTCGAAGCCCGCTCTGCGTGAAGACAAGCGCGCCCTGAAAGCACCGCTCTTCTGGAGCAGCGCTTCTCCTCCCCACCGTGAGCCTGGGTGGGATCAGAGGCGGGAGGGAGCGGCTTTTCCAGCCGGCGCCCGCCAACCATTCCCCCCCTCCTCCTCCCCCTCCCCCGGGGTTGGCGTGGAGTGCGACTCGTCTCTCTCCCAAACAAGGGGGTTACGCAGGTGGGGGCGGCGGCGTTAGGAATACTGTTGCCCGCTGCATCCGGAGGGCTTCCGATGGGGGAAGGCTGTGCGGGGGATCCGTTTGCTGGCCAGGGGAAGAAAATCACAACGCGGCCCACGGATTGTGATTTGCTGCTTGGCTTATGTGCTTGCACGTTTTGTTTTGGTTTTTTTTACTCCGCTTTCAACTTTCGGTCTCGCCACCCCAGAGGCGAGGCAAGTGGGGTTGATCGATCTGATACTTTTTGAAAGGAAAAAGAAAGGTGGGGAGGACTGTCCTCTAAAAGCCGGTGGGTAATCCCGGGTGAACTGAACCTGCGGAGCCAAATCCGCGCCTGCCGCGGGCCCTTAACCCTTCTTCTTTTGGCCCCCTCTCCTAACCGAGCTCCTTCCCGCCGGAGGACTTCTTCGCTTCGCGCCCCCGTCGGGAGGGAACTTCGACGCTCTCCTGCCAAGGGCTGCAGGTGCGTCCGCTGTCGGCTGCCTCTTACCTGAGCGGGACTGCCTGGCCGTTCTCCATCTGGCAGGCCACCAAAGCGTAAACGGCGAGGAGCGAGGAAATCTTCAGCACAGCCATAATCTTCTGTCTGCAAGAAAGGCTCATTTTCACCGAGGAGAAGCCCTCTGCGGCCCTGCCAGTTCCCCTCTGCCTATCTAGGCTGCGATCCCATCGATGAGCATCCTGATTGACGCGGGTAGGTTTCCCTTTTGAACGCGAAAGCATATGGCTGGCTGTGGTAAGTCCAAGAAACAGCGAAGGATCTCCCCATAGGAGGATCAGGCTGGCCTAAAGGGGGAATTCTCAGAGGGTAATAAATTATCCGTTAATTATGTGCGTTTAAAAAAAAGTTTTTATTTACAGAGAATTCACCGGTCTCTAATATCCATTTAGGAATTTTGAGGGCGTTTTTTATGGGCTATCAGAACTGGGCAGAAGCAATTCAGGACGTTGGTGCCAAAAGAGGTGAGAAGCAAACACAGAACCGTTCTTCAAAAACGCGAGTCAAAGTTGTGAGAGGTATTTATGCTTAAATTGATAAATGCCTCATTTTTATGTTTCGTTTTGAACTAAAAAAATAAATAAAAAATAGAAAGAACAGCTGAAACAAGTGGACTTCTGAAAACGCAATGAGGCAATGCTGTAAAATTGGAGTATGAGTCATTTTGTAAAATACAGAAATAGTTGTGTGCACACAGAATTATAAGCTGCTTTTTCACATATGATTTCTTTGTCCCCCTCTCCTTCAGTTCAAGCATTTCCATATATTCAACATTTTTAAAATGTTGAATATATAGCATTTGTTTTTTTAGTATTGAATTTTCCTATCTCCATCCTTTTTTTAAAACAGTGCATCCCTGACCCCAAAGTCTCTATATATGCCACACACACACACACACACACACACAGAGAGAGAGAGAGAGAGAGAGAGAGAGAGATGTTCATCTTAAATTCTTCCTCGTTTAGACTTTTTCTTGCAAAGTCTATAAGGAAGTTCAAAATGCTATGAGATACTACTGTCTTGGGGAGTAGGGGATGGAGACAGAAGGATGTTTTAAAGTGTATTTTAAATTAATATATATTACCTTGATTATAACAATCTTTAAGATAACCCTTCCCCCCAAAAAATGAGGTAAGTAGCATATTGAAATTAAAATGCATCTTTCTTGTTTGCAAAGATTCTAAATTTTGTTTAAAATTTGCAGGATGAACATTTCTTCTTATTCCTTAACATCCTGAAATGCTAATTCTTATTTTTAAAAATCCAGAAAAAGATTACGCTGCATAGTCCAAAAACTATACAAAACTCATATTCCAAAAACTAGACAAAACCTAGCATACTTGAAATGTAAAACTGATGAATGCAAGGAAGCACTCGCAGTCTTCTGCGACACTGTCTACAGATCTGGGAGTAAATCATCCTGAACTCAGTAAGACATTAAAGAAAGCATGGCCAGGATTTTTGCTGCTGGAGTTGTAGGGTTGCTGAATAGAGCAGAGTTAGTGGAGAAGGGCTTACCTTCAAATGCGAGTCTTCTTAAGGAAGAGTGAAACGTAGTGGAGGTTTCCTCGGAGTGATTTTCAGAGCCTGGTGGTCTTCAATGGTCAACGACCCCCTTTTATACATATCGCCAGGACAGAAGTGTGTAGGCGTTCAACGAACACTCACTCACCAATCAGCATCTCCTTTATCACTATAAAACCAATCCTCGACTGACCACAAAACTCCAACTCCCGAATTACGTCATTCCCAGTCACTGAGTATTCCATTCACAAAAAAAATGCCAGTCATTTAGGCACATCCGATAGGTTTATTTGCATTTAGGTCATTGAACGGCTGGGGGTGGGGGTGGCGGGGGGGGGAGAGGGCAGGAAGAGACATAGCAAACGATTAATGAAATATAAGGGAGATCGACCCAAGTCATTAATAATATTTAGACCTCCCCATTGTTTTTTATCCCTCCAAGATCTCCCGAATCTTTTTTTGATGAATAAACTCAAAGGGCAGGATATTTACTCATTAGAGGCGACATCTACTGCAAAAAGTGCTGCATTGCAGAAAAAAAAGGACTTCGGTTGGCATACGTGCTTTCTCAACTTTGCATCTTAGCAAGGACCCCAGGAGGCGAGCTGCAGAGAATCCCTTTTTTGAACCTTAATTATAGGCTTCGGAATCAGAGAGACGCACTGAGCCTTGCTGAAGGGAGCGGGCGGGGGGGGGGAGAGAGGAATATATTAAATTCACATGCCTTGATATGTTCATACCTTTACTATGGTGTATAGCCTAAACTTTCTCATAATTACTCGGAATTGGGACTAACGGAATTCAAAGGCCAGGTAAGGATGCTTCAGGTTCCTACCACCTTGGCATGGAGGAAAGCGGGGGAATGTCTGTTTAAAAGAGCCTGGCCAATCAGATCTCCTTCCGATGTGTCAGGTCACAACTCCCAACAGCTCCAGCCAAAATGAACGAGGGTGGGAAACTCTGTCTGAAAGCCCTGGGCTGGGAAAGGCTGGTTTGGATTTAAGTTGCTAAAGGAGTCGACTCTGCCGGGCAGATGTCCCTTCTCCAGTTCCGGAATCTAATTTCCTTGGAAATAAGAAAGGTTTCAGCGAGGACCGACCGAGTAAGGAGACGTAGGGTCGGACTACCTGTACACATTTTATTGCGAGGCCTCGTTTGCTAACACTGGATTTTGGAGGCGGTGCAAAAGGCTGGGTCGCCTGAGAACCTACGCATTTGGACTTAGAGATGGTCCCTTGCAAAGCGTGTGGATAAATGGGAGAGGTTTATTTTTTAAGCTCAGTGGAATTGTCCGCTCCTCATTTAACCCCTTGCCGCAGAGAAAGCAGCGCCTTTTCGACCTATTCAGCCGATGCCAGGTCTTGATGTTCTGTGCAAATGCATCCAAGCACCAAACGCAGATAACCGGAGACCGTTGATTCGTAATCCCGTTCAGTGTCAATCCCTTTGGAGGACCTGGGTTCAAGTCACCAAGTGTTTCCAGCCTCCAAGAGCATCCCCCTCATTGTGCCTGTCAGATCGGGAGACCGACACACCGGGAAGGCAACGCGCAGGACAAAGTAGTGAGCACTTAATGACTTCTTTCCTGACAGTAGACATTTATTGGAAGACGGACAACGACCAAATGACAACAGAGGGAACACGGATGTGAAAAGCAAAAGCAATCTCCTTAACTAGGTGCTCTCGAGATATATCGGACTTAATTGCCCCCCCCCCCAAAAAAAATTGTTTCCAATCTTGTGCCCAGGGGAAATTACGGAGAGAATCCAAAATACTATTAATATGAGTATTAATTGCTTCTATAATTTATTGGATTTTAATTTTTGAAAGCCGCCCAGAATACAATACAATAAAATAAAATATCTGAAACGTGCCGGGTTGGGGAAGGCTACTGTAACCCTTCAAGAAAAGCCCCTACGTTTCTTGCCAAGTCTTCACAAAGCGCCCCAAAGTCATTCCGATTCCTTTTTAGCAAGGCTGATTTGGGATCCACCCTTGCTGTGGGAGGGAAGCCATTCAGTATGCTTTACTTTTTGAAAAGCTTCGGGGTAGGGGGGGAGGAGGAGGAGGAGGAGGAGACCCGTCCATAACCGATCCAACGGGATAGCCTCAGCCCTTCGTCTGCTGATGGAGGGCAAAGAGGAGAGAGAGAAGTTATCTTCATCTTAGCTGGGAAAGTGACATAGGAAGGATCCTAGTGCTCCCGCAGGAGATTGATTGGGGGCTTTCCCCGTTCCACCTGTCTAAAGCTCTGGGATTGGGAGAGCCTGGACAGTCACGGCTGCATGTCTGGGATTTAGTGCACTTCACTTCTCGGTGCCAAGCGCCACGGCTAAATCGATTATCTTAATGGGGAATTGCATTGGCAAGGGCTGGGCTGGCAGCAGCGATCGCTCGCTCTTCCTCTCGCTCTATGGCTCTCCCTCTCCCTCTCTCGGAGTCTCTGCTACAGGAGTCCCGGGCGGGTTCTCCCCAGCCCTCCGACCGGCCCCTCCCAATCTGCCCTCCCCCCTTCTGTTCCTGGGTTGAAATGGCCACGTTCCACCCGGCAGATCTCCAGCTGCTTCGCTAAGCCCCTGGCCTTCGGAGCGAAAAGAGCGGCATCCGCCGAGGAGGTGGAAAAGCTTCTCGTGGAGAGCTACAAGGGCCCAATCCATCACTCTTTAAAGGGCTCTTAGTCATTGTCTAGCAGCTGCGGAGTCGTGTCTGGCGCTCGGACACCTGCTCCATCCAGGATGTTTGGATTTCATAAGAGAGTACCGCTGGGATCAAAAAAGAAAAAGAAAAAAAATGAGGGAGAGTAATGAAAGCTAGAAGAACTCTGGGAAGAGGTGCACTTCCCTAAGAAGTGTTGATTCAGGAAACTGCCCCATTTCGCGCGCGAGCGGGTGTTTGTGCTTGCAAGCGCGCCCTGTTCTAAGGCTGTTAAGTCCGCCTTCCTCGTTAGCCCCCACTGGACAGGGGAGAGACCTGAGGAGCGGGAAGGGGATGGCGAGGGGGGCGGGGCGGGTAGAGTTTAGAGAACACGGTCTCAGGCGGGAAGAAAATCAACCCAGCGATTTTGTTGCTTCTAACACTGAAGCGCGAAGCCTTTGGGTCTCTTCCACCCCCTTGAAAATCCTCGCGAGCCCTAAGTGAAAGCCTATCTTCTACTTCCTTTTGTCGGAAGAGACAACGCACAGGGGCCCCAGCGGCTGCACTCCGCCACGTTACAAAGTGGGGGAACTCCGCCGAGCGAGATTCTTCCTCCTGAGCTGGACGGATCGGCCAGCCCGGGCAGCGGAAGGTGGAAGATCTGAGGAGGATCTTCTGAGCAGCCCAGAGGGCGGGAAATGCGAGAAGTGCCTCTAAACCAGGGGTTCTCAACCTTGGCAACTTTGAGACTTGTGGACTTCAATTCCCAGAATTCCTCAGCCAGCAAAGCTGGCTGAGGAATTCTGGGAGTTGAAGTCCACAAGTCTTAAAGTTGCCAAGGTTGAGAACCCCTGCTCTAAACAGACACACACACCCTTCCCCCTCGGCTGCTTCCCGGGTGACAGGCGGACTGGGTGGGCGAGGCTCCCTCGAGGGGTAAAAACGCTGCCCCGCTCTCTTTCCCCTAATTGACAGGAGAAGCGAAGTGGTTTTATTCCGCCAGCTCGAAGGCATTCCTTTGATGGCGTTCTGGACCTGGCCTTGTCTGAAACGGCCAAAGCCTCAGCTAAGCTAACAAGGGAAGCAAGGGAAGTAATTAGCTAAGTGGTTTCGCGCGGCGCGAGAGGAATGGCGAGGCGCTCGGCCCTTCTCCGGTTCGCTGGCAGCTCTGCCTCCTTCCACATGTGGGGACTTCATTTGGAATAAGCAGACGTTGCCCGTTAGGTTCCAATTCCATATTCGTATTTACTCTGGAAAAACCCCATTCGATGTAGCCGGAATTCTCTGGCGCTTCTGGTTTGCCGGTTGCCACTGCGTTTGGCCGCAAGAGCCAATACACTAATTTGAAAGTAAAATTGCATTGGATTATAGACTAGCTGCTTCTAACATCTCGCCGCCTAGTCCGAGGCATACTCTCTCAAAGAGTCTAATGGAGTTGGACGCCTATAATACATCTGAAATAATAACAATAATAGTTCCGATTAAACGAAGTTGCATTTGAATAAATTTGCATAGGACTGAGTGTATCCGTACAGCTAAGGCTTTAAACGGTTAAAATGAAATCAGCACATTTGAAGACGACACATATTTACAAAAAATCCGCTGTCACAGGTCCGGGGGAAATTACTGGGAATCTCTCTGGTGTAGTTGGCCAGGTGGGGCTGTTCTCAGCCCTATTTCCCCCAAAAGGCTACTTCCATGGAAGCTGCCCTGCGTGGTTGAAGGAAAAATGGAATATACGTTCAACAAGCAAATATGGACCCCTTGATTTTGAGAGGGCCAGTAAAGCAGATCTGGGTAATTTCACCTGGGCAGTTTCTAGAAAGGCAACATGGTTCTGCTTTTAAAGTCTGTGCCACAAGTAAGAAAGCAGCAGGTTAAGATTTGTCATAGATGAGCTAATGATTTTCTTGAAGTTGCCCATCAGAGGCAAAAAAAGAGCAAGAGAATTCCCTGTTCATTCGTCTGATGAACAGACAGACATAGAGTGGATGGATGGATGGATGATATGACAAATGGATGGAAAATGACAGACAGGCAGGCAGGCAGACAGACAGTCAGTGTGTGAGAGAGAGAAGAGAGAGAGGCAGAGGCAGAGAGATGCCAATTTTTGTGGTTTATTGTCTTAGGTGAATTTATGGAAACTCAGGGTAGTCATGTAGAATTTAAGGAACTTTTAAAACCATAAGTCATATTCCTCTCCTAAACTGTTCTAGTATCACTGAAACTTAGATCAAAACTCACTGCAGTGCATAAAATGTTCCTGCCAGCACTATAGTAATATATCAGTAATGAAATAGCTTTTACATTGTTACAGCACTTGCCCAGTGATTTTATCAATATCCAGAATAGAAATGCCTATCTGGTCAGATGGCACAGAATTTCAAATTTTGATTGTTTATTTGACTGGGCATCAAATGGAGTTATTCAATGCTATTTTGTTTTCTTTCTGTTACAGAAAGTGTCTAGAAGCACATCTAATATATTTCACATATCTATATATCCATACCTATATCCATACCTATATCTATCATCTAATAGTGTAAACTGTTATATGTTGTGTACTAATATAGTATTTATTTATTAAATGTATATGTTGCCCATCTCAAAATAATAGATAATAAGAATTTCCAGTAAATCCAAAAGGTGGGATAATAACTGGATTTGCATGGAAGGTTAAACTCCTGGAAAGAGTTTATATCTCTTCATAATTAAATCATTAAAGGGAAGCCAGAAAGGGGGGAGAAAGTCAGGTAGATTGTATAATAACCAGCCAGCCTGATGCTGAAAAGAACTGTGGTACATTCATTAAACCAAGATGCAACTGAGCCGAACTAAGGGAAGCTGCAAGGTGTCTCCCCCGCCCCCCAGTGAAATGCAAGACATTATTTCAGTTCCATTGATAAGCTGTAAAAGCACCATCGAATCATTTTAACAGAAAAGAGACGCTCTGTGACTGTATTTCTCTGCACAGATTAAGCACATTTGCCAAGATGGCTGGGACAAATGTAAATATTCTTTCATTTAGATTTTTCTTTGAAACCTGGATATTGAGTACCTCTGGTTTCTTGCAACTCAATTGGGCAACCCTGCATATGTCCATTTAGAAGTATATTTCAAGGAAGTATGTAGCCTCAGATAAGCCTAGGGTAGGAGTCTAATCCCACAATGGAGAAAGCTCATTTAACCAAGTAAACAAATTTAACTGAGTAAACAAACAGAACTAAGTTACCCCAAACTTAGAACAAATTATCAGATTCCCTCCCTAGCTAGGTCTCCAGTTAACCAATTTGATGATGAGACCCATTGGTATAGCAAGCAATTATCTCTTTAGATGTAGGACAACTGCACAAAGGAAATACTGTATGTAAAACAGTCTCGATTCTATGAATCACTGAAAACTCTGAGAATATTAAGAAGCAGAGTTTTGGGTATCTGCAGAATCATTTCCATGTCACTTCTACTTCACAGAGGCTGCCCTATCAGTATTCAAAGCAGTATGTATATATGCACACACAGGGCAAATGTGCATGGCCTTTTCACTTTTGAATCTTGATGTACATTAGGAATTAGTGAAATGCTCACTCTCTTTGTCTATGTCACATTCTCTCTCTCTCTCTCTCTCCCCTTTTTTTTTCTCTGACTCCCTCTCTAGGGAACATTTCCTTTCTCCAGAAATCCTAATAAAAACTAGGGAAATAAGGGGAAACTGATTTTTCCAGTAGGGGAGAAGTCCAAAATGTTTATCCCATTCATAGAAATTAGCCAGCTTGGAACCTTGGGTAAACCTCATATGCATGCCTGACATTATCTGAAAGGGTATGTACCTGTAAACAAAATCTGTATGGAGGCAATATCTTCATTAGCTTAAATCAGGGGTTTCAAACTGCTGGCCCACGGGCCGGATGCATCATGCCAAAAGTGCACCCACCTCATTGCTGGCAATGGAGAAAAAGTCATGATACAACATATCATGTGACACTGCATGTTTGACACCCCTGGCTTAAATGATCTAAGCATGGCAATGTAACATGGTGTAGTCCAGATGTGATGGAACTGCAACTTTCACAATCCTCAGGCAGAAGATTAATTTGCAAATATGGGATTTGGAATCACAAATAACTATATTAGCAGTTTGGACAGAAAGATCTCAAAAAAAAATGCAACCTTAGTAAATGTAGCGCTCAAGTTATGACCACAATTGAGCCCGAAATTTATGTTGCTAAGTGAAACATTAGTTAAGTGAGTTTTGCCTCATTTTACAACTTTTCTTGCCACAGTTGTTAAGTGAATCATTGCATTTGTTAAGTAACTAGCATGATTGTTAAATGAATCTGGCTTCCTCATTGACTATGCTGGTCAGAAGGGTGCAAAAGGTGATCACATGACCCCGGGACACTACAACGTCAAAAATATGAACCAGTTGCCAAGCATCTGAATTTTGATCATGTGACCATGGAGTTGCTGCAACAGTTGTAAGTGTGAAAAACTTAAAGTCACTTTTTTCAGTGACACAGTACCTTTGAACAGTCACTAAATGAACTGTTGTATGTCGAGGACTCCCTGTATGCAGTTATGGAAGTATTCAAACAGAAAATGAACACTCATTATCAAAGTTTTGCTTCTGGATTTAACTCCTTCAGTTCTTCATCAGTGTGCAAATAGTATATGAAATTTTTTAAATGTTTAATCAAAATAGTGTAGCACAATATGGCAATATGGAACAGTGGCTTACCTAGCTATGAAAAGGCTTTTTGAAAAAAAAAAAAACAATGGCTGTCCTGCAGTCTCTGTTACATTTCATTGTTCATCACATTGACATGTTGTGTTTCCACTAGGAACAGAGCTCAAGGTAGCTATAATAATCATAATTAAAACTTGTAAGATAAAAACACACAAATAATAAATGATAACATGCACAAAATTAAATCTCCCATCAGCAACAATCATCTTAAACAGAAAAAAGAGTTTGAATAAATATGTATATGCTTTTATTAACTTATTTATTAAATGTTTATACTGTCTGATCCAACAGGTCTTGCAGATTGTCACCATGATGGGCCATTGGAATAAATCCATAAATAGTAAAAGATTAATATTTTCTATTAATTAAATTAATATGTTCTATTAATTAATTAAAAAGCAGTAAGCAAGCATTCAAGTTCCTAAAAATTCTCATTAGTGTAGGGGAAATTCTAGAGTAACAATTAGTCATTATGAAGCAGTAATAGTAAACGAAGCAAACATGCAATGAATCATTTTAGAGCATCGTTTTTCCTTCCTTTTTTTATGTCACATGAAATTGGGTATTTGTCTTTTCTTCCAATTATGAAATTTAGCTGAGGAATTCAAATGAGCAATATTTACTGAAATGCATTTCCCCTTTTTCTTCAACTTCCATGCAGCTTTATACATATATCTATCTGTCTGTCTGTCTGTCTGTATACATACATACATACATACACACACACACACACACACACACACACACACATATATATGTATATTGTCAAAATAATGGTCACCAAGAGAATATCTATCCAAAAATAGAATTTAATCCACCAAGCTTTCGTCAAATACATATATATGTACATATACACACACACACACATATACATATATATATATAAAATCTCCCAAATCATAAACTGTGCTTCAGGGGAATGCCATCCTATCCAGATGAAAGATGAAGAAACAGATTTAAAAATGCATGGTGCAATTTAAAATGATTTCTTGATAAGGAGCAAACATTTGTCCCTGTGGCCTCATTTGAACTCACAAAAGAAAATATAATTAACTACGATTAAATTAGTCAGGAACTAGCACACAACGCACACAAGCTGATCCCACTATTAGCTGCCTAAAGCTCTATCTTCACATTTTTTTCGGGATACTTCAGAAAGCGACTTCAGAAAGAGACGTCAAAAGCCCCAAAAAGTGAAGTTGTTAGGAACTCTCTAGAGTTCAAAACCAGCGTTGAGAAGACGCACCTCTGTTTCTGGCTTGGACATATTTCTAAGAGGCGTTCTCCACCCTATTTAAAGAAGTTCTCAGCAACGCGGTATTGTTTCATAAGTCGCTTTGTTTATTGGAAAAGCCTGTGTTAAAGTAAAGGGGCGGGACAAAGTAATAGCAGACTTGGTATTGGCTTGGGAGGACCTTTCACTGCGTGCAACACTGGATGTCCCAGTTTCTGAAATTCCACGGGTTAGAATTTGGAATCCTGACGCCGAGGAGTAAGCGGGAAACAGCGCCACTGGGTGAGAAGAACCGACCAATCCGGCTCGCTGCAGCTTGACAAGCAGTTTCGACATCCTATAAAAAAGGAGGAACGAGGCACTAGGGTGTTCTGAGATTGAACTATTGTGTTGACAATTGGCTACTGGCCTAGGAGGGAAAGGGAGAAAGGAATGTGGTCCGAGGGGCTACTGGTGGGTTTGGTTACTAGCGCTGCTCTCCTGTTCCTCGTGCTGGCGCTGGTGGTGAGGCAGCTGCTGAAGCAGAAGAGACCGGCTGGCTTTCCGCCTGGTCCGGCGGGGCTCCCTCTCATCGGCAATATCCATTCCCTGGCCGCGGAGCAGCCTCACGTCTACATGAAGAGACAAAGTCAGCTGTACGGGGAAGTATGTTCGGAGGGACCGCGGCAGATCAAAAGGGAGCCGTCAGCCTGTTCATACTCGCACCGCAGCCTTTCAGCTTTCTCCTCAGATGCACGCCGCATAGGTTGCACTACAACTCCCATCCCCGGTTATCTTTTGATTTTGCTAGTATGGGTGATGGGAGTTGTTTTGCAGCGTATCGGAGGATGCCCGGTTTGGGCTTGCGTGTTGGAGAAATCAAGCTGCTGATCTTTATCAGAGTGATTGCTTCTTGTTTGTTATCTCAGGGCAACGAAGCTGAAAACAGATGTTGCAAGGGCAAGCTTAAAATTAAAAAAAAAAAAAAGCATAGGCTGTTAACAGTATGTCCAAGATCTTTGGTACATTTTTACAATCTTTTAGCTGGGGGAGGCGAAGGGCAGAGGGAATTTCAATAGTACACTCTATAGTCTATATATGATTAACTTACTGGTTCAGCCAGGACGTAATTCTGAATATATCGTTTTATAATTGTATATACATGTCAGAATGTAATTTCTTTGTGCTTTGCTTCATTATACTTAACATAAGAGACTTACTAGACCATGGTGTGTTTTGTGTAGTATTTGAGTAATAAAACAGAATACTTATAGTCCACTTGTTTCAATAAATTGTCTTCCAAACAGATTTCTCCAGTATACAGCTAAAACTGTCAGCTTCCAAATTCTCTAGATCTTTTTTAAAACAAAATCCTATTTTCTCTCAAATCTGTTAAAATATGCAATAAAGATCAAACAGCTTTTCTTCTCTGCTTATGCTTTGAATGAACATTTTAAGCAATCAGTTGAGAGCTGGGATACACGGACGTGAGGGGAGGAGGAAGTCAAAATAACTTTTTGCTGGAATGTGATAAATAGGAAACTCACTATGGTGATAGTAATCTTAGGCAAATGGAGGATTGGCTGAATAATTTAGTGTATCTAGAAATTATCTGGAATTTGGAAAATATGAATGAGGATACCTGTTAATATATCTTTTATATGTAGTTTTTTTTCTATTTGTTTCTTAAGATCTTTAGTCTTGATCTTGGAGGCATATCAGCTATTGTACTGAATGGCTATGATGCAATAAAAGAATGCCTTGTTCAGCAAAATGAAGTTTTTTCAGATAGGCCTTCTCTGCCTTTGTTCAAGAAGCTGACAAAAATGGGAGGTATGTCTGTTGCGTTTATAGTTTATTGCATAACAATTGTCTTGAAATCTGTCTATAATCTTATCTTTTATTCTGAAAAAAGGGTCTTGAATATATTTTCTTTGCACCCTGATTTAAGATGCCAAAGTAGACGAAAGATGTACAAGCAACGCAAGCTGAGGTTGCTGCAGTCAGAATTCCCAGGCCAGGGAAAAGGAAACTTGACTTGAGTCTCAAATAGGTCCACATATATCAAACAATAGTCTATCCCAAATAAGATTCCCTAACAATGCATACATATATATGTGGAACATGTGTATACTTGTGTTACATCCCACTTCTCTTCGACATAAGTCTCCAAACTTCATAAGATATATTGAACAAAAGAAAAGTTAACTAGATAATATGAAACCTAACTCACATACTTTTGATAAAACTATAAAACTAAAAGTTAGAATCCAGTGGATAGGTGGAAAATGAAGATAGACTAGAGCAGTGATGGTGAACCTTTTAGAAACCGAGTGCCCAAACTGCAACCCAAAACCCACTTATTTATTGCCGGGTGCTAAGTGGGCGTGGCCCACTGGGTGGGCATGGCTGTGGTGGTCATGGCAGACTGGTGGGTGTGGCCAAGGTGGGCATGGTCGCCTCGATGTTGCTTGTGGGGAGGGACCCCTGTGGGTGCCGGTCAGGGTTGGGGGAGATCCAGGGGGTCTCTAGCAGGTGGAGGCTCGTCCTCCGGGGTGAGGCGAGGCAGGGTGGGGGTGCCATTATCTCAGGGCAAGGCAAGGGAGGAGCTGGGGCAGCTGCTGCCTGACACCATCGGCCCCTGCACACAGAGGCCAGCAAGTGCATGGGGGCCAACAGTGTCCATCAGCAGCCACAGCCTGCCAACCCCTCGACCGGTGCACTCTGGGGCTCTGCAGCCCACCACCAGCAGTTTAGAGAAGTGCCCACAGAGAAGGCTCTGAGTGCTGCCTCTGGCACGCGTGCCATAGGTTCACCACCACTGGCTAGAGCAGTGGTTCTCAACCTTTTTAATGCTGCGACCCCCAACCGGTCGTAAGTCAAGGACTACTCAACCGGTCGTAAGTCGAGGACTACTTAACTGGTGCAGCACCGTTTGCAGAATGGGACTTTTGGCGGGCTCAGCAGAGCAGAGACAGCCTGGACCATTCCTATTGGCTTTTGAAAGCCAATAGAATTAGACTCTATTCAAGAGAGTCTATTCTATTGGCTTTCAAAAGCCAATAGAATAAAAGGGAGTAGCACAGCTAAGGAAAAGGGGGAAAAAATGGCGGACTGCGTTGTTTGGTGACCCCCGTGAAATGGTCGTTCGACTCCAAATGGGGTCCCGACCCACAGGTTGAGAACCACTGGGCTAGAGGGATAAAATATCAAATTTGGCACACAAGAACAACCAGGATATGCTTAAAAAGTAAACAAGCTTTCAACCTAAACGCACATTGTCATTCCGTCTGAGGTATTTGCACCTTAATCTTTTGGACTGTCGGGCATAAATGGAAAAGTTTTATGGATTTTTAAGCCAAAATAGCCCAAAGGACAGAGATACCAGAAGTGAAACCAGAAAACATAAAAAGCCACTGTCTTTAACAGTGGAGCAAAAGGCAACAAATTGATGATCATGAAGAAAAAAGAGGAACAAAGATATTGAGGACAAATGGCTGGAAATCAGAGTCACATACAAGTCACAAAGCTGTATCAGTTGGGCCAGGCCATTACTAGGATTCCATGTGGTATCTCACTATAAGGTTATATAAGAACATCAGTGTAGGAACCCTTCTCTAATTAGTCCTCAAATGGAATCTACTTTTTCTTTTTTTAATAGATGCCAGGTATTTGGATGGCATCACTGAATTATGATAATGCATGATTTTTAAGACTGTTGTCCTCCTGTGTATTATTGATTGGAAGTTTTGTTTCTGGTACATGCATTTTTCCATATGATCCTGTATAGCTTTTTTATTTTTTTTAATGGGACTACCTTGTAGACAGTAAGATAGTTTATAATTATTTAATGAAAGATATTTCTTCATTGAAAATATCCTTCTTTGGAACTTTATGGTAAATTTGGTATGGTAACTGCTCAAAGATGCCCATTTTCCTATACCCAGAGGTGATGAGTTTCTTTTTTTTTTAAACAAATTTTATTGGTTTTTTAAATTCTTAAAGCAACATATTCAGGACACACCGTGGTGCTGGGGTAATCAAACATCTTAAAACAAGACTTATATACATAATATAATCAATACGTCAAATATTCCCTCTCTTTTTCCCTCAAATAGCATAGTATATTTAGAATATCCAATTCTAGCTTAAATTTATTCAACCTGAACCTGTTTTTAAGCTTCATCATTTTCTACCATAATCAAATTAACTTTAAATAAAAACATTTTCAATTCAAATATCCCTTCCACATATGTTCTACTTTCTTAATTTTATCAAAATCTTATTTGTTTCTTCTTCCATCAATCTCCCTTATTTAGAGTAAAATATTAATCTATCCTATAGCTATCAAATCTATCAATTGATCTATCTCTTCAAGCTAAAAAAAACAATATCATACCTTAAATCATGTCATTTCATTAAACAAAATTCAAGTCTCCAGTTAATTATCATGACTAATAACGTCCATATCATCAGAAAATCATATCATCTTATTAAATTTCAATTAACTATTAGTTCACTTCAAATCTGAAACATCTCTTCAATTTTCATCATTCCATTACATCATAATTTTCATAGAAATAAACCTAACATTCTAAAAGGAACATTCCTAGTATTCTAAATTGTCTTTAATTCCTTATATAGAAAGATATCTCGTTTTTAAACAAAAATGTCTATCCTAGACACATCTAGATATATGTATTTATCAAACTATTCTCTAGATATCTAATCCTTCACTTAATCAATCTCTTTAAGTTAAATTAATATCAAACCTTAAATCATTTCAATATTTAATTAACATTCAATTAATTATTGATTCACGCCAACTCTAAGACATCTTTTTACTTCAAACTCAAAATCTCAGTCCTTATATCAGTCCATAGTTCTAGGTTGCCTTTAATCCAATTTAAGAAATTTTAAATTTCATTTTTCAATCTTATTCTAGTTTTCCTCTTTTGTCAGGTAGGTTTCCATAACAGGGCTTCCCTTCCAGATAATAGGTCTCTTTTTGTTGCTTCTAGTGTCACTTGATTCAATACAGACCATCTTGATCTCTGATTTAATCCTCTGTTTCTCTTGTCCATAAAGCCTCGTGGCTTCAGAAGGTGATGACTTTCTTATAGATACAAAGATAGAGACAAAAAATTGAGTCATTGAGTAGAATAATGTGGTTTGTGCACTTAATATTGAACCTAAACATAGAAATTATCTTCCCAATATTTAGTAGTTTACTACTTTTGGCAAAAAAATTCTATCTGAAAAAGAGAAAGGTAATAGATGATAATAAAATAAATTTGTAATAAATAATTATATGAATTAATTATGAGTTAATTATATAAATATGTTTCATGTTTCAGGTTTACTGAATGCAAGATATGGCAGAGGTTGGACAGAGCATCGCAAATTAGCAGTAACTAGCTTTCGAAATTTTGGATATTGTCAAAAGTCCTTTGAAAGCAAAATAACAGAAGAGTCGGTTATTTTTCTTGATGCCGTTGATACTTACAAAGGCAAGGCTTTTGATCTAAAGCACTTGATAACAAATGCAGTTTCAAACATTACTAACCTAATTATTTTGGGAGAACGGTTTACCTATGAAGACACTGAATTTCAGCATATGATAGAAATATTCAGTGAAAATGTTGAATTGGCTGCCAGCGCTTCAGTGTTTTTATACAATGCTTTCCCATGGATTGGTAAGTTGCCCTTTGGAAAACATCAACAACTTTTTAGAAATGCTGCTGAAGTCTATACTTTTTTACTCCACCTTATTCAGCGTTTCTCACAGAATAGGAAACCTCACGCACCTCGACACTTTGTAGATGTATATTTAGATGAAATGGATAAGAATAAAAATGATCCCGAATCTGTATTTTCAATGGAAAATTTAATTTATTCAGTTGGAGAACTCATAATTGCTGGAACAGAAACTACAACAAATGTTTTAAGATGGGCAGTCTTGTTTATGGCTCTTTATCCTAATATTCAAGGTAAGTAATATGTAAGTTGTTATGATGAAAAGTTTCCGTTCAATGATAACTAAGAACATCATTTTTCTACCACATCTTTTAATACAGTTTTTAACCATACTGTAGCCCACATTCAGATTAAAATTTTGGGTTTCTTTTTTTTTTCTAAAATTTCTGAAATTTGGATGATATATTAAAACAATGGCATGCCAAATTATTGCACTGATGAGGTTATTTTGATGAGAAAATTGGGCTTCTTTGGCCACTATTAATCAGTTCCTACTAGTATTTTGGGGAATAAATTGCAATCAATATTATTTGATATAAACTGTTGGCCTTGTATGCTGAACTTGACAGATTTTATATATACCTTCTTGCCCTACCTTGACATATAGCAAAACAAATTCTGACAAGCACAAAACGGGTGCAGTTTGGCTATGTAGGCAATTTTGTATTTCTTTCTTAATATGCTAAAAAGAATGTATAGTACAGAATTATATTACAGAAGGAATACAGAATTATAATCCATAATCAATAGATTATAGAATAAATCTATCAGGAAACGACAAATTTGGTTAAGAGATTGTAAAGTATTTAAAATGTTAAATAACACCTGTGACTTGTTATAAGAGCACAGAGGTGGCATGTTGTCAGACAGTTTTGCTTGTGGGACTAAAAAAATGTTGAAAACATACCCCTTTAAAGTTGTTTACCTTAGTTGGGGGAAAGTATTTGTGGATGCCATGAATTCTGTTTTTAATATTACTAAACAATATAATAATTATAGACAAGATGTTACCTAGGGATTCCTGTGACATATATAATTACTATATGAAAAATGGTTTGAAGTAATTTCTTCTAAATAAAGTTTTTTTTATAATAAAATATACAATTTGATATATTTATGAAGTAATAGGAAATTGCTTTTTGAAACATTGTGTGGAAACTTCTGTTAATAAAAAAATCAAAATAATGAGATAGAGGTGTGTCAAACTGACACCACAGAGTTAACTACTGTATTAAACAGAATGTCTTTTAATGAAGTAATATGAGAATGAACATTGTTTCAGTCGCAAGATAAAATGTGGAAGAGCTTATACAGTCCCTTGTGCAATAATTCTTTCATTTAGGAACTGGAAGAAAACTCATAGCTTGATGACATAACACATACTTTGTACTGAAAGGCTCCAGGGAATACTCCATGAAATCTTCAATTAAAAGTATCAGGGAGCTGGGGATCAAAAAGATCAGAGCCAGAGTTCGTAGAAAGAATTTATCAATGCAAGAACACAAAACAAGTCTGGAGTCTTTCTGAATTTTGAGCTATTTCTCAGAACATGATTATATTCCAGATTGATTATATAATCTACATAGAGTTTATATATACACCTGGATAGAGAGAAAAAGCTTTGAAAGTAACAAACAGCAGTCACCCAATTCTATATAGTCCACAAATGTTCAAGTGACAATCTTAAAAAAAAAAAACCTTTGTAAATCGTACACTGAAATTTCATGTGTAGGTATAAATGTTGTGGTGTACACATAATGTAGATGCTTACATACAGTCTAAAAGCTTTTTCTCTTAACAGGACATGTGCATAAAGAAATTGACTTAGTCATTGGTCCCAACAAAACACCATGCCTAGAAGATAAGAACAAAATGCCATATACGGAGGCGGTGCTACATGAAATTTTAAGGTTCTGTAATATAGTTCCATTAGGTATTTTTCATGCAACTTCTAAGGATACGGTTGTCCGTGGTTACTCTATCCCTCAAGGCACTACTGTAATCACAAATCTCTATTCTGTACATTTTGATGAAAAATACTGGAGTAACCCTGAAATGTTTTGTCCTGAAAGATTTTTGGACAACTCAGGACAGTTTGTCAAGAAAGAAGCATTTATTCCCTTTTCACTAGGTAAGCATAAAAAAATGTATCCATAAATCTAGGTGTGATAAAACTTATGAGTAAATATATAATAAGTATGATATAGTGTATATAACAGTAAAATGCTTTAAGTATTCTGCTTTGATCAATAACTTTCTGTGAAAGGGCAGTTGTTATTATTAATCTTCTTTGAGAAGTCAGAATAATAACTCATAAGTGGTGGCAATGCTTAATTGAACTTGAAAAAAATGAAATAGGGTCAGGTCTGCTTAGTAGAAACACATGGAGGACCATCAGGATATTCCAGGGATGAACATTAGACTAAGAAGTTGAAACAAATCTATCATTGCCATAAAAGCTAGCTCAAATCAAGAGTCAAGTTTGATTTGAATGAGATTTTATTTTTGCCTTTGCAACGCAAGAAAACAATGAAATCTTCACTGGTAAACCTTTCATGCTATTATCATTGTTTTTATTTGATCTCAATACACAATGCAAAGGTGGAAAGAATGGAGTTTCTCATAGCTGATTGGCTGCCTAATGATTTGTAAATCTCCTTTTTCCCTCACCTTAAGATTTGTGCAGAAGATTTCAGTATATTTATTTATCATTGAACAAATTTATATATCAGCCTAACTCTCACATAGTGACTCCCCAATTTAAAATCCTGAAACCCCTCCCACCCACCACCACAGTGGCGACAAATACCTCTGAAACCTCTTTTCATAGGCTTCTACTTAGCAATCAGTAGGTGTAATTTTTATCTTCTAAAGGGTTTTATGTGTGAAAAAGGAAAAAAATGTGTGTCGAGGACTGAACTGGACAGAGATGGATTAAAGAGGTAGACTAAGGAGAATGACTCTTTTTACTATTTCAGATCTTACTTTTCTCCTCAGATTTTTTTTTTCCATTACTTCTTGACTAGCTCTATTACATGAAATCTTGTAGGGTCTTGTGGCAGGTGTGGTCTTGCTGAGTTAGAAACAGTTAAAAAGAAAAATAAATTTTGGACAGCATAAAAAGAAAAGGAAAAAGAATAAACACTTTGGAATTGCCTGAGTTTTTCTCTTGTATATGTGTGACCATACAGAGAAATACAGACGTTTTAAAGATTAATATTCAGTGTTCTTATCCAAGATGTATAGATAAAAGTAATAATCCAGGGAAATGTTTGTTAATAGTTCTAACAAATGGTAAATACAGTTTGTCAAAGTAGCTGTTTTATCAGTTTTTCAGTCACAGCAATTTTCTATGTGTTTTCAAGAAATTCCTCTTTTTGAATATTTTAACTTCCCAGAATTTTATGATAAGAACTTGTCAGTTAACAATGGGAATTGAATCACTTTCTTAATGTTACCTGTTTATGTGATTGATAAAACATTAGCTGGATTTTTTATGGGGGAAAAAATTAAACCAAATATGAACAAATGGTGCATTCCCTCGAAAGGTGCAATGTGTACCAAAGCGCTTATAAATGATCACAAATACAGTCTAGAAGGATTGCTGAAATTACTGTATAAAAACTTTAAAGTATTGTATCACTGATGGATTTTCTTCATAGTGAATTGTCAGTGACTTGCTGAACTAGATACGATGAACGAATTCTATACTATAAGTTCTATCCTTTACTATATAATTCTGGATGGGGTTGCACTACCCTAAACAAACTCGGTGCGCAATCTGGGGGGTCTCCTGATTTTAATGAGTTTTATATATTGACAAAGACGTGAATGGAATTTTTTTTAATTGAAATGTGTTACCCTGCTTTTAAATAACAAGTCTCTATGCATAATTCTATAAAATCTCATTTTTCTCTTATATTGAAGAACTTTATATTGAAGAAAGATGAGTAAAAGAGGAGAAAAGATGGGTATCAAACCTAGTTTACACCTGTTTAAGATTTGAGATAATGTATTATAGTAAAAGGTTCAGTGCAAATTCATTTTGTGTTCATTGAATGTTATTTAAATATGTAGTTATATGTATTAAATGTCTCTGTTGAAAGACATCTGGGATTTACAGTTACCGGAAGGAGAAATATTTGAATCTTCCTGCAGTGGGTACACTAATTTAAATTAGTTGACTACTGTATAAGCATAATGTGTTCCTTGCAGGAGAAATCTGTCCTGAAAAAGCCCTGTTTAGCATCTTCTACCTTAATGATGAGTTTATTTTGATTTTTTTACATTCATCTTTGGAAAGCACTTCCAAAATTAGTACCTGAGAAGCATATCTATGAAAATTAATTCTGTTTTTTTAAAATAAAGAATATATAAATTTAAATTATACCTAATTTAAAAATCAGTAATTATTTACTTAAAAACATGATTTTGTTGATCTATTTTCATTGTAGAGTAACGCATAAACATACATAGATTCAAACTGTAAATACATACAGTATTTGCCATAGATCAATTTATTATCAGTGTGATTTTTTTTTAAATGGGCCTCTATGTTTTGCTTTATTTCATATGTAGTCCTTGATTTAAAAAAAAAAACAATTAAACCTTGTTACTTTCTCTGTCTTCCCATCTTGCCCTTTTAGGACGAAGACACTGCTTAGGAGAGCAACTGGCCAGAATGGAAATGTTTTTATTTTTTACTGCATTACTTCAAAGATTTCATCTACATTTTCCTAGTGCTTTGGTTCCAAACCTTAAGCCAAAACTTGGCATGACGCTGCAACCTCATCCATACTTCATTTGTGCAGAGAGACGATATTAAATATTACTATGATGGCCAAAGAGGCATGGGGAAATGATGAGATGCTACATACGGTACACATTCCATGATTTTGCCTAAATGAACTGATTTCTAGCCTATTCTTATAAGAACACCATCAACAAGCTTTCTGAAAAGCTAAACAGGAAGAAAGGAGTTTTAAAAACTTTCTTGGAGTGAGAAATGGAGTAAAGTCTAATCTAATCTAGTCTGATATAATTTAACTATTCAAGTCAGGTAAGGGGTGACCTCTACTACCTTTCTTGGAAGGTTGGAACCCATTAGAAATCCTGAGTAAACTAAGCATGACTAGATAAGCTAAAGTTACTTTATTGTAAGGTTGCGTTAACAGAATCTTGCAAGTCTGAAGGTACAAACTTCCAGCCATCACTTTTAACCATCTGATCAATTAGGGTAGGTCCTTCCTACATTTTTTTTCCTCTTACCATTAACCTCCTGAGGGCTCCACCCTCTCCTGTCTGATTGTTTCTTAGACAGCATCTTTTTCACTTGTCCCCCAAGGTCATCCACACATTCCATTACACAAACTGAAAACATCTAACACCTTTATCAACCTTTCAGTCTTGTTATCTTGTTACTTCATTATCCAAAGATCAGCTAATTAAGACTGCTCTCAGAGTGGCTACACCCTCAGCCAAATAAACCAGTTCAAATTATTTCAGACTGTATAGACCAGGAGTCCCCAACCCCTGGTCCATGGACCAGTACCGGGCCACGGCATGCCAGCAACCAGGCCGCACAAACAAGCAAAGCCCCATCCGTGGGATGCAGGCAGCACACAAAACCATGTGCCCTCTGGTCCGCGGAAAAACCTCTCTCCACAGAACTGGTCCCTGCTGCCCAAAATGTTGGGGACCTCTAGTATAGACTGTTTCCCTTTTACTCTGAGAAGCTTCAAGTGTACAAGATCTGTAGACTCTGATTCTGAACTACCTGGATGGAACAAGTAAGTGAATATGAAGTATTGGAAGTTATCCAAGCATATGTTGTGCAAGGGGTTCTGATGCACTCTGAGCTTGGTTGTTTTCTTACGGACCTTTCATTACTCAAACTAGGTAACATTAACGGTGCTGGCAGGGAGTGGGGTTTGTTCCCACGTTATATTATAGTGGCCCTGTAAGTGTTGTTGGGAGTGGTCTGGGTAGTTCTTACTGTTAGCTTGTTTGGCAGTTCCTTGATAGGGGTATTACCATGCTCTCAATATAAATTGAAACCACACCCCATTCCTTACTAACATTGAAGTTATCTAGTTTGGGTAATGAAATGTCTTCAAGAAAGCAACTAAGCTCAGAGAGCACAAAGGACCCCTCGTTTCAACCCTGAGCTACAAATATTCTCCTTTATTAGTAGTATATCCTGTATGCCTATCTTTTTTTTATGTTGATGCTCTCCTATTAAAAACACTATAATACAACTAGTTAACTGTTAAAGATAAAATGGCAATAATGTTCGTAATCTTGCAGCTTGGACTTCTTTCAAAAATAAAAGAAAGAATTATTTTATATGGGGTATTTATTAAATACATATAAAGGAGTATTAGAAGGAAGAGTAATTTCTTATGAGACTGCATTTTAAATATATCACAATGTATCTCACTCCCTTTTTGTAAAATGAAGCAATAAATTGTAGAAGAAAATACTGTCGACAAATTTAATGATTGGTTGAAATACCATTAAAGCATGTGTGTGTGGTTTTTTTTATTGCTTGTGCTTCACCAAAAGAAAAAAAAAGTGAAAGAAGAAAATTTGAGGAAAAGTATGACATTTTTAGCATATGTGCAAGACGTCTAAATTATATGAAGTTCTTTTGAGTATTAGAATTCAATTTTCTCTATGCACCTGATAGGTAATATTCATTTATAATAAAAAGCAAAGATACTGGAACTGGGGGAAAGAAATGCTGATTTTTCAGTTGAAACAATTATTCTATAGTATCATGGTTGCTCTTTCCCTGAAATGAGAAAATGGCACTTCTAACTTGCCATGGGTTTATCCAAAAAAGAAAAGAAGCAAGTGAGATCTTCCAGTGACAAAACATGCCTTCTTTCTTATCCCATTCCTTCAGAATATTGTCTTGCATAAACACACTCCCAACAGTCCACCAGGCATCTCTCTTTTAGAAAATGGGAGAAAATTATTTTCTGCCCAAGCAATCAAATAGGATGACTTGACTGCACATTAGAAAGTTTGATTTGGTGCCAGTTTTTCATTTTTTAATGTGTTTAGTTTTAATCTGGTTATTATGTTTTAACTTTTGGTGAGTAGCCATCCAGCGTTTTAAATGCTGTAAACAAACAAAATAAAATTGTAATGATATGGGTTCACAAAGAATGTATGTGGCTTCTGTTGGTTTTTTTTTCTCAGATTTTATACGCACTCTCAGTAGTAACTTTTGAATTTTAATTCATTCAAGGCAATAGCTGGTAAGCATAAATGAAGGATTTCGCCTGAGTAATTTCACAGGTGCTGGTGGTGTTACTTTGGAATGCAGCCATTATGAAAAGGATGCACACAGAAGTATTTATTATAATAGTTTTCGTTTAAACAAATGTAATTAGTTTTACCCCCTTGAGTCTGTCTGGCTTTTAGAAATTTTCTTTGAAGGTAAACAGGCTTAATTTAAGGCTAAATTAAATTAATTTTTGCAATTGCTGAAGCCTTTCAGTCTTGGGTTGCAACATTGTGACACGTGACATGCCTGAGGCAGCTTAAAGAAAAAAAAGCCTGGAGTTTAGTGTTTATTCTGGGAGGGTTTTGTGAGCTTTTCTTGGTTTGCACTTGATTCCTGTGTCTTTAAGGGTACAGGGAAGGGATGGGGAGGGGGGTACATTCTTACTTCACTGTGGAGGAGAGCTGAGAAGGCAGGGAGGAAGAAGAGGGGGAGAGAAGAAGAAGGGCCAACCAGCCAGCTGGTAGTGGTGCATATTAATAAATATGGATAAACTCATCATACATGTGTCAGTGCAAAGAAAAAGTGATTTAACAAAGGAACTGAAGAAATTAAAACTGGTACTCTTTTCCTTTTTTTCTACAGTTTGTAATATTTTATTAGATTATAGAATAAAATACAAAAGCAAATAGTAGGACACAGTGGGGAGGAAAAGGGGGGGGAATGAGGGGGAGAAGGGAAAAAACAGACTTCCTCTGTTGCAGTAGAACAGTGTTTTTCAACCTTGACAATTTTAAGGCATGTGGACTTCAACTCCCAGCATTCCACAGCCAGCATGTGGAATTCTGGGAGTTGAAGTCCACATGCCTTAAAATTGTCAAGGTTGAGAAACACTGCAGTAGAAGGAAGCGTTAACATTGAACCTCAACATTTTACTTTTCCATACTATTATAAACTAGCCATTTCTATAACAACAAATGAATCTAATCAGTAAAACCCAAAATCCCCCCCCCTTTTTTTTTTAGTCACGTTTTTGACACCTTGCTAAGCACTGGTGGCACTCAAATATTGTCATGTCCTAAAAGTGGTACAATCTGTGAAAAGATTGAAAAGCTCTGCTCTACGCATTGTTGGAAAAAAACCAGCAAAAATAGTTTCATGAACTTTTATGAACTCTAATGGAATTTTAAAAACTTACCCAGTGTATATTAATGGGTAGCTATTAATATAATTAATATGGTTCGCTATTAATATTAATATATGGGTAACTATTAATATTTATACCCATAATATAATGAGTAGCTATTAATGTTACAGCCATTAATGTTATTAATAAAACTAAGATTATTATACCAGGGAAGCATAACATTTTGTTTTCCTGGTATAATAGTTTTATTAAGTGCTATCTTTCTGATGAAGGTGAACTTTTAAAAGATTAATTCTTTTTTATGGCATTAATATTAAAAATGATAACTCTTGAGGGCTAGAAAAAGAGGCAGATGAGGACATTTTGGCTAACATCCAGACTACACCATCTCTGTGTCACCAATTTTCCTTGACCAAGTCAAATCCATTACAATAATTGAAGACACCAATAGAAGAAGAACTTATGTATGAATAACTATTTTTTCTGACTATTATAACGAATTCTTCCTACCTTATAACAAACAAAAAACTGATAGGAAACAAAATCATGTGATCATGCTGATGTATATGAGGTGAATCACCCTCTCAACCAGTGACAACAATGTATAACAGCTGACTGCTGGCTTTGAGCCAGGGAAAGACAAATTAGTTCCTTAAAGCAGAAAGCCAAGCGTCTGACCGTATCCAACTGTATACAATTTTGCATCCAAAAAACATTTCTCCACCATGATTGTGTATTAGAATAATTGTGGTTAAGAAACCATCTGCATCCATCCTTGATGTGAAAAATTTGATCTTAGTGAATTATGACTCTTGACAGAGAAACATTATGCCATATAATCCATCTAATGCCTAGTCCTCTGCTAAATCTGAAAATCAAAGGGATCCTATCATTTAAGTGTCTATATATATATATGCACGTTGCAGCTTGAACAATAGTTTTGTGAACTTCTATGAAGTTTCTTCGTAGCATGAAAGCTAAATGTTTTAAGATGAGCAACCACTTAACCAAACTCTTATAAGTCAGGAAACATGATTAATATTAATGTAGTCAAAAATTTGATTTTTTTTTCCATTGCAGAACTGAACAGTTAAATTTAGGTTTCACACATATATGCACACATTTGCAAACTCATACCTGTGTTTCCCTGAAAATAAGTCTTATATTAATTATTGCCCCAAAAGACCCATTAGGGCTTATTTTGCGGTTAGGTCTTATTTTCAGGGAAATACAGTACTAAATATGTCCATCTGGCTGATGATCTTAACTGGGGCTTATTTTGGGGGTGGGGCTTACATTTACAAGCATCCTGAAAAATCATCTAGGGCTTTTTTTCCGGTTGGGTCTTATTTTGGGGGAAACACGGTAGTTGGCAGTGGCCACCTATAAAGACACTATTAAAATTAGGATAAACTGGAGGCTAGACAAAATTACTGTAACGTATAACTGTCCTTTTCATAAAACATCTAAGCTGTGCTCTGTTTTTTTATAATTTAAATAAGTCACAATAGGATTTCCCCAACACACTAATCCATAAACTTTACATACTAATTATATTAGGTTCACATGATGAACTAAGTCACAAACAAGTTATCCTATTTGTATGTTGTGTGAACTGTGCTTTTGTATTTATGCACAGATATAATAAAAATATTTTTTAAAAAACATAATAGGTGCCAATTTAGCAATCCTATTTCTAGATCAGACATGTCAAACTCACAACGTCACATGACGTTGCGCGACGTATCGGAGCTTTTTCCCCATTGCCGGCAATGGGGTGGGCGCGATTTCCTTGTGACGCGTCCAGCCCTTGGGCCGGCAGTTTAATACCTGTTCTAGATAGTTCCACATGCAGGGGTGGAGGGTAAATGCTGACATGCCATTGTGATTTCCTGATACAAAGGACAAGATACGTGGTCAGCTGTAACTGTCATGATGCAAGTACTAAGTTGAATCTTTGGGGCAATGGTGTCATAACGCGTATGTTCATTTGTTGTCATCACAACTTGTTACAGACACCACTGTGGGTTTCCTTAACCAATAAACAAGCCAAGATAAACTCAGCTTCCTTTTGCCTGGCATAAAACTATAAGTCTTGGTCTTCAAAAGTAGAGCAGTCTGGTAATTTCTAGTCTGACGCTCCATAAGGGACACCTTTCAAGGCAGGGGCTTCAGTTATTTTGATCACAACAGAGCCAAAGAAATGCACTTCCTGATCTCATCTAGCAGTGAGTGATTCTGAGGATAACACTGATCAGAGGAGATGAGTCAAAAGTCTGAGTCATTCTGTCTTTTGGCAGCATTATTGGAACACAGGGAAAGCACAATGAGAGTGGTAGGGGGACTTTCTAAAACATTTCACACTGTGTGTATCCCTATCTAATGCATCAGTCTAAATAATAATGATAATGTAGAAGTTTGGGTGATACTTTCATTTATTCCTCCATAAGTGCAAACTGTTTCCCTTTAGTGGGTTTTCCTTAAAATAGGTTCAGTACTTTTCCCCAGCTTTTGGAATAGTCAGTTGGAAATAGGATTTGTGATACTTCCAATTGACAAAATGTATGGCAAGCTTGAACTTAAGTCATGAAATCTTAAAAAGCTTTGTAGGCATTTAAAAGGTGCTTAAAACATTTTCAAAACAAACATGATGATTTTAACTTATTTTATTCATTTTAATTGATATTGTTTACACTTATATTGTACAGTTGACCATTAGGAGACTAAAGTCATTAGCAATATAAACATTTAATGAAGGAATATATGTATATAATGTGCTTGTGTGTGGTTCACAAGGGTCATGGGTGAGAAATCTATCTATGAAAGCCCAGCAGAAAATCTGAAAAACGACACTTCTTTGTTTTCTTCTCCAGTCACTATCCTAGCATTCCTTTTAGTGACTCACTAGCTGATCCTTTCATAGTACTTTTATTTTTGTATGTTTTGGAGGTTGAGAGCCAAGTGGAGGTAGAGTCTCACCAGATGAGATAAAGGAAACCTAGTTTTTTTTCTTTGCAGGAATTTGGCCATGGATGGTGGATTGTATGCTACCTATCCAAGAGCAATAGAGGGGCTTCACATTTTTGTACTTTCTGAGACAGCACACAAACCTATGTTGCAATAAGTAACCCTTAAAACAAGCCATGGTTTCAAATTGTGGTTAAAATTCTCTGCCTGAAGTAAGTTTGAGTGACACACTGTTCTTGTTACTCCTGGATGTGTCATGTTAGCCTTGAGGAACACAAGTGACTCAGGGACACACTTGCCAACTTTGTGAATAAGCAAAAACAATCTTTCTGCTCAATGATGGCCTCCTTATGGAAGTTTCATAAACAGTGCCAACAAACTTGAGAGCTACTGTGATATACTGATTCAGAAGCTGTTCTAGGACTGGGGAGAGTCAATTTCTGGACTACCCTACTAACCTTTCACTCCAACTCATGTCAAAGGGTTATTGTGAGCAAACATAGAAGGAGGACTATGTCCAGTGACCTTAATTCCTGAAAGAAAGGCACCAAATCTAATAGATAAATATCCAAAGTTGATGTTTACTGCAGCATGAATTCCAGTGGGGTTTGCAGTTCAATCGTCTTGAGAGTCCAAGCGAAAGAACCAAATACTTCATACTTTATCACTTTATCAACTGCTCCTCTTACAAATCAAATATAAGTCAATAATAACTATGATCTCAACATTTAGTCCACATAGAAATAAAGGACATGTTAAAAATCATGAAAAGTAAAAAATAATGGTACTATGATATCTACTGTATGCTGAATTTCAGACAAATTATTTATGTTTTAAAATACTTTATTGAAAAAATTTGCAAAATTCATTTTAAACAAAAATATTCTGTGAAATCAAGGTAAATTAAGCCATTCTTTAGGACACAAATATATAGTTGTCATTTCTTTGGCAAAAGGATTTTTTAGTATTTTAAAGTATGTTTTTAAAATATTTTCAGCAGAGTGCCTAGAATCAACTCTATAAAAGCCAGAAAGGAATCTGATTCCATTCAATTTGATTTCAGCTCAATTATGATTTATTAGGTTAACTGAAAATAATTAGTAATTTGGAAAATAATCAATCTAGATTAGAAATATGAGGTAGAGATGGGTTTCAGAAGCCCTTCAGAAATTACTTAGTGTGAGAAAATAGTGCAATCCTCTATAGCAGGGGTGTCAAATTTGCAATGACACATGACGTGTTGTGACGTATTGCAACTTTTTTGCCATTGCCGGGAATGGGGTGAGCACGGTTTCGCTATGATGCATCCAGCCCGCAGGCCGGCAGTTTGATACCCCTGCTCTATAGGGATGCAAAATGTTCTGGAAACCATGAAGGGAGCCTGGAACAAAGAACAGAGAAAGTATAGTGCATCTGGAATTGTACATAATCTGTTCCCACTATTATTGTAGACATATATTTTAGTCTCTAGTAGATGACATGGATGGGAAACCCTGCCTTCCTCCATATATGAGATGTCAGCTGTGGCTGCCAACATCTTCCCTATTTACAAATAGGTCGAGGTGGCTGAAGTCCACATTGAGGCATAACTAAAAACTGGAAGGCAGCACAATAAAGATGGAGATCCTGAACGTAGAGCCAAAATGGTTTTATACTTGTTGAAATTCATGGAGCCTTGAACTGAAAATGCCCTTTTCTACAGGGAAAAGGATGATATACCCAAGTTGCAATAAGGAAATAGGTGTCCTATTTAGGGACACCTTTTAGGGAAATAGGGAACCACTGTGTTTGGCAGGCAGATAAGGCTTGCAAGATATTTTTTTCTAGCCAAGGGAGGTTTGAAGAGATGAAACTTCTAAGGTTGCCAAAAAGTTCTGCATTTGTCCTCCCCCTCTTAAAGAAAAGCAAACCAGATGAGGGTTCAAATAGACAATTTTAGAGAATGAAGCAATAGATCTAGCAACTGGTTGCTAAAACATATGGGTGGGGGACAGACCATGTCTCAAGTACTGGATCATTTCAAATGGCCAGTTTTACCCTATCCCAGGCTTCAAAGCCTCTGCTTTACATCAGCTGAGTCCATAGTGCTGTACTTAACAACTATAAATCCCAAACAAATCATGACTGCTAAGAAGCATTTTTCTGCAATCTCATGGTTCTATGCCTTTCAACCCTTTGACTTTTGACCCAGTATCACTGATGGTTTTACTTGAAGCATGCTCCAGAATCCCAGTCAGAAAGGTGCTGAAGTTTTAATGGATTAAGAAAGGAAGAATCAGTTGAATTGTTACCACATGGAAAAAGACAAAACCAGATGAACTAGTTTAACATCAAAGGTCAAGAATGGAATGGAGGACAGTATCCCATGTTCATAATGGGAAATACCAATGGCTCTTTCTTTAGTTTGAAATAGCATAGTCCCTTTTAAACAAAAGATTTTTCCCTTTGTTTCTCAATAATTTTCTAATAAAGCAATGTGCAAAAAGAGGATGGCTATAACATTCCCAAACACATGGTCGCTCAAGATAATTCTTTGCGCTTGCCAATTACCTATTGAGTTTATGCTCAAATATAGTGACATTCAGCGTTCAGGTCGGATCTAACCAAGGACAACAAACTGAAGATGATGTGGTCTGAGAAGTGCTGGACTAAATTTAAGCAGCTAAAAATAGCCCTCAGTTGTATATATGTGCTACAATACAGAATATAGTCTATTCCAGACAATACCTTAACTACTGTTGTTTTTGAGAGATGTGTTGGGGTAATGCAACCCTTGATTAATCAATTTAATGCAAACAAGCCTAATTCTGAATAAAAAAACAATTGGAGAGAGACTTGTATTTCTATGTCAGAAAAGAAAATTGGTTGGGTTACTTTTGCTCACTGAGGCCAGAGGCCCTCAGAGGTCCTAGTGGCAGCTTATAGTTTGGGGCCCATTGCTGCTGGTCTACTTTTGATGTTAAACCTTCTTGGCTTTTTGCTTCTTTTTAGCATTTCTTTTCTTCTTTAAGTCCTTAAACCATTTTTCCCAGCGCTTTTCTCCCAACTCTCATTTCTGGTCTCCTAACATCCAGTTACAGCAGCTGAGATTCAATGATAAGCCTTTTTTTTTTTTAACTGCTCACCTCCAGCAATGCTCTATGGAGGAAATTTTTCTGTCTTTCCAAGGCACCAGCGCATTTCCACCAGCACTGGGCATGTGGGAGGAAAGGCATAGGTAACTCTATATATTGCCTCTCAGATACATAGATCCAGTAATTGAGGGATATTGCCTACCTCTTTTTTTTCCCCTGATGCTTTGACATCACTGTTAACTCTTGGAGATTACCTGACAATGCATTGCAGTTTTCTTAGCAAGAATTTCAGAAGTGGTTTTCCATTGCCTCTTTTCTAGGGCTGAGAGTGGGTCACTGATTCAAAGTCACACAGCTGGATTTATAAGTAAGGGGGACTAGAACTAAGGGGGACAAAGAAGAGGGAGTCAAGCTATTCTCCAAAGTGCCTGAAGGCAAGACAAGAAGCAATAGATAGAAACTCATCAAGGAGAGAAACAACCTAGAACTAAGGAGAAATTTCCTGACAGAACAATTAATCAGTGGAACAACCTGCCTCCAGAAGCTGTGAATGCTCCAACACTGGAAGTTTTTAAGAAGAGACCGGAGAACTGTTTGTCTGAAATGATGTAAGCGTTTCCTGCCTGAATATGGGGGTTGGACTAGAAGTCCTCCAAGGTCCCTTCCAACTCTATTATTGTTATTGTTAACTCATAAGTGTTCCACTTTCTAGTTTTATGCCCTAACCACTATATCAGATTGCTTCTCCTATCTTATTTATGTACAGATTATTGTGTTTGCATATTATTAGTGGCGTATTAAGTATCAAGACTTCACCCAATTGTGTATCTCACAAATTTTTCTAGGAAACATAGGGTGATTTCAAACCAGCACTGATCACCTGGTTCCCCTGTAATTTTGGGTTGTGCTGGGAGGAGAATATTATGAGCCATCAAGTATTAAAAAGAAAAAGAAAAAAGTAATCGCTAATTTCCTATTAGCCTCAGATGAAATAAAACAGTTTGGCTGCAATTAAGAATACAATTCAGGAACAGCAATAAATATACCTGCCCCATCCAGCTACAAAGAGATATTTTATAAAAAGTGAAAGTGAAACTAAGTCAACGTAAAATAGACCAGGGTAACTGATTTTATGAGAATATAGTAATGTTTTTTTAAGCTTGTTCTATTAAAGTTCATTCAATAATATTTCTGATATGTTAGATACCATGTAAAGTGACTAAAATTGAGTTTAGAACATTTATATACAAAACCATCTTTTAATTTTTTATGAAGATTACATACAGAGTGAAAGTCAATATTTTTAATGAGCATCTAGCATTAGCCTAAGTCTGTAAATATAAAATCTTTAAAAAATCTAAAAATTTTAAACATGAATCCTGAGAAAGTAGAATGTATTTACAACATTGATTAAAAGAATAAAATCCTGTAATTATTAAAATAGTTAAATAACTTGTATGTTCTATTACAGAACAATGCGAAAAAAGGCAACAGGGGTCTATTTAGCAAATTAGCCCGAATACTCATTGGAAACCTGTACATTTTTAGAAAAATAAAATGGCAGGCTATTTACCACAGTAAAAACAAAAGCATCGAACAGATGCAGAAGAAATTCAGTTTTAACCATAAGGACCGGCAATTCTGGTTGCAGTCATCTAATGGTTAAATCAATCCAATAACTTCTTTAATCAAACTCTTGCAAATTAAATTGATGGGAACTGCTTATTGACAGGCACAGTGATTTTAAGGTTCGCATTAAAAACAAAATATCAATTCTAAAACATTATAGGACTTTGTCTCGAGAGCTTCTATAAAACGGAATGTCCTTGTAACTTGGGTATTTCAGATTGATTTTTCTCCAAACCGTTAATTCCATTTTGATAATAAAAAGTTACTTTTAGGAAGGCAGCAAAACAAGATACTTGAAGACCAAACTGGACATAAAATCTTCTCATCATGGAATGCAGTACTGTGTTCAGTAAGTCTATGAATAAAGTCTTTTTTTTTTAATTTTCATATGGCAAAAGTGCATAGAAGTGTGATAATGCTGAAGAAATAAATGTCCTTTCACATTATTCAGTATACTATTTTTCATACTTCTCTCAAGTCTGTCAGTTTACAGCCAGCATTTTGGATAAAAATATATTCTTGGGGCAGTCTAGGACGGTGTTACGAAGTCTTTCAAAAGTATTTCCTCTTGTTCTTAATGTCGTTCATCTTCTTCATCTGCTTCCTCAATAACCTGAATCTCATCTGTCTGACATAAGGAGGTATTTCCTGAACGTTCATTTTCTTCTGGTTTACTTAGTTCCTCTTCTTCAATTATTTTCTTCCATAGTTTATGGTTTTCGTTCAAATGGTATATTAGTTGACTAAATACGCGCTGCCCGTTTTTTCTTCTTTGTAATTCTGCAAAAAAAAAAAAAAATAATAATAATTTCCAAACTCACTTCAAATAAATAACACTTATTTAGTAAATGAACTATATGTTCAATTTATGTCCTGTTTAAAGAAAAGAAAAGGGTATAGGAGGAAAAAAAGGCCTTTATCATTTGGAAGCTATGGAAGAAAATATTCAGAAAAAAGCAAGCTTCCTAGATAATGCATAACAGCGGACATTCTATTGCGATATCTTCTTTTACAGAAGTCCAGGCAGTCCTTGACTTACAGCAGTGCATTTAGGGACTGTTCACAGTTACAAGGGCACTGCAAAAAGTGACTTATGACCATTTTTCACACATACGCCCATTGCAGCATCCCCATGGTCACGTGATCAAAATTCAGATGCTTGGCAACTTCATATTTGTGATGGTTGCAGTGTCTTGGGATCACGTGATCACCTTTTGCAACCATCCGACAAGCAAAGTCAATGGGGAAGCCAGATGCACTTAACAACCGTGTCACTAACTTAACAACTGCAGTGACTCACTTAACAATCGAGGCAAGAAAGGTTGCAAAATGGGGCAAAATTCACTTAACAAATGTCTCACGTAGCAACCAAAATTTTGGGCTCAATTATGTTCGTAAGTCGAGGACTACAGTACCTGTAACTGAAATCAAATTGTTCAAAACTGCATTTGCTCTTACTTGTTCCTAAATCTTCCATTTCCTCTTCACTATCCTCTCCCGCATCACAATCTTCAGAGCTTTCCCTCTCATCTTTTTCAATCCACTGGCCTGGAAGCAAGCCGGCTGCATCGTAAGAATTGCAAAGAGGACCAACAATGTCGGTAATAAAAGATTCTTGTAATTTGGCAAGTTGAGGAGAATGTCGGTTCATAAAAGGGCTAATAGGTAGCCCCAGGTTTGCTTCTTCATCTCCCTGGAAATTTATACATGCAAAATATTTACAACAGATTGGTCAGAAAACTAGAAGAAAAAAAGGGGACTTCTTCCCATAATTTTATCTAGTATTACCAAGAGCAAAAATAACTAGATCTTTACTTTTAAAATTACATTACACTTAGAGACTTTCTAAACAAATGAAATAGGATATAAAAGATGGACACGTTTTATGACCAACGTATCTTCCCATAAATAACAGTCTAATACAGGAATATGCAGCCTGCAAGCTTTATATTACTTACGTTCCGGCTTTTGGCCGGATTTTAGATCCCTCTGTAAAAGCATACACTTAATTTTTTTAAGATTTAATTTTATGCATATAATCATTCCATGTACAAGCTTATTTGCATTATTTTCTCATATATGTTCTGCTTACAGAAGGTTTACCTGTTCATAAAATTCATTAATAATTCCCTCTGTCCATTTCAGGTGTAGATCCCTAACTTTGGCTGGACCATTGATATCTGCAAGCTTGATGCATATCTGACATATTAACAGTCGATCACTCTCATTGCTCCATTCAATACCATGCCCATTCATGTTTACCTATTTAGAAGGGAGACAAAGGCATAAACTAAATGTTTTCTTCAATCCTTTCATACCTTTTCACACATTAATTTAAAACTTCAGGAATTTCTTACACAAAGCACAGTTTAATTTGTTGATATATTCTGCAGTATTCTTGTGCAATTTGAACTAATTCCTAGATATATGGCTTACTTCCAAGGAACTGAACTAACTACTGTCTGTTTTCTGTCTATCTATATCCATCTCTTTCTGTCTGTCTGTCTGTCTATCATCTAGTATTTTTAAAGAATTTTGATATACACCTCCTTGCTTCTGTCTAGCATTTTGCACTAAATATTTGCAGAAAAAAACTCATTGAATTCAGCAAATAATTAAAAACCCACAATGCACTGAAATTTATTAATGTTCAGTTGTGTGTGTGTGTGTGTGTGTGTGTGTGTGTGTGTGTGTGTGTAAGACAATAATAACTGCATCAGATTAGCCAACCTGACAACCACTCCTCAAGGAATCTTATGGAGGAGTCATAAGTTAGAATACTATATCTTAATTGATTTCCTGAATAACAGCAAAGAAATGACCAGCTTGACTTCAAGAAACAAAAAATACACTTTTTCCAAGCATAAGAATACTCAGTATGACTAATTCACTGGCTTGAATTGGGCAGGCAGATCCTACCTGGAGGAGACACCCCCCCCAAAAAAACCTGAGCTATTAAGGATATTTTAAGTAATATCTGCATACTGAAATGGGCCCAGAACTCAAAGCAACAATGTAGCCTCCACAGTACTGGTATCACTCTGAGATAATGGTTTCAATCAGTCTGGAAGTAAGGGATTATGTTTAATTCTGTAATTTTCAAGTAATGTTCAAAGAATAGTCCCATGTAAAGCAAATTATAATAGTCTAACTAGAAGATGTAAGGTCACAATTCATTATAAACTATAGCATCTCCTGACCTAGGAAAGGTTGTATCTGGTGCACTAGGCCAATGTGTCTTCTGGCCATGACCTATTCCTGCTGCTTTAGCAGAAGCCTGACAGTTAGAACAATTAACCAGTGGAACAACCTGCCTCCAGAAGTGGTGAATGCTCCAACACTGGAAGTTTTTAAAAAGAGACTGAACAGCCATTTGTCCGAGATGGTATAGGATTTCCTGCCTGAGCAGGGGGTTGGAGTAGATGACCTCCAAGGTCCCTTCCAACTTTACTACTACTACTACTACTACTACTACTACTACTACTACTACTACTACTACTACTATTATTATTACTATTATTATTAGCCACAAATTTAGGAAAACCTGATGTAGGGTCACCTTGTCAAGAACTAAAGATGGAACTAATCAGTGGTGGGATTCGCACCACTTTGGCAGAACCAGTAGCTAATTTTTTGTTGCCCAGGCCCAGAATGGACTTTTGGAAGTGGCATCCACACAGAAAACTGCTTGTTCACATATTTGAATCCCACACTGGAACTAACCTATTAGCAGAGGGCCTATGCAAAAACAGCACTTTCATCTTGCTACAGTTCATTCTGAATCTGTTCCTTCCTATCTAATCTTTCACACTTCCAGGCACTGGATCAAGACTTCCATCTCATGATGGAATGAATAAACTGAACACTTTACAATGTACACACGTATATAATTTCCAGCTTCCACTCAGAGCAATTATGAAATCCACCATTTAAAAACAAATCCTATGGTACAATCAACTATACCCTGCATCTTCATACACTTTTAACAATAGGATTTAGATAAGGCATTTCTCAAACTGCGAAACTCACCCAGGAAATTAAAATAATAATAAAATAAACACACATGAATTAGCACCATGAAAATCTACTACAAAACAGATCCTGCTAATAGTTCTCAGCTAAAACTTCTAAAAGTTGTCACAATCACAATAAGAAACTGATCTCAGTGTTTTTCCTACTATCAGTCAGGTGGATCCTATTACAGAACTCACTGATATCATGCATACATCAAAAATCTATATATCTTTACCTCTTCCAGTGTGATATATATTATTTGCTTACCACATTTTACATAGAATAAATTAGCCGGTCACTATAGTATATAAAAAAAATAAAAGAACAAATCGGCTCTCAGATAGAGCAATATATTAGTCTAGAATTTGGATTACTCCAAAACAAGTGGAGGTTATCACTGATACACTACGTAACTCACAAATAATTAAACTGCCAATTCCTGTGAAGAGAATTTGTCTGAGCAAGAATCTATTAAGAGGTTCAATATCTTTCTGATAATTAATTGAACTGAGGCCATAAAAAATCTTAATCAAATCCCCAGTGCATAAGTATCTGTCACTCCAAACATCTGCCTGGTCAATGGATAATTATTAAGATTTCATTATCATTATCTGTAACTTCAGAATTTCATTTCCCCTGATATCACTGATGATCCTATCTCTAGATTATAATTTATATGTCTGATTAAATGAATTAGAAAAGCAAAATCACAATAAACTTGCGCTTTTTCCCTTTTCTACTGGTTATCCTTGTTCTTTGTTTCTATTCTGAGAGATGAATACATTTGTAATCCACTACATTTATTTGGTAACTATGAATTTGGCATGTCAAAGTGAATTGGTATATAATAGTCAAGAAATTTAGGATATGGGCTAGAAAGAGTTGTTATAAACAACTTAAATACAAATTTCTCAGTCATACAGGGGAAATTTGTATAGAATACAGGACTGTATGATTTGTCTAGTTTCTCTCCTCAGCTAAAAGTAACTGCTCTTTCCAAGTGGAGAGTCTATCATTCCCCCAAATAACAATAATGTGAAATGTGCAATCTATGACCTAGGGCATGGGTCTCCAACCCCCGGTCTGTGGGGGTCTGCACAAACAAGCAAAGTCTGCACAAACAAGCAAAGCCCCATCTGCAAGCAGCACACAAAACCACGCACTCTCCGGTCTGTGGAAAAACCTTTCTCCACGGAACTGGTCCCTGGTGCCCAAAAAGTTGGGGACCTCTGACCTAGGACATATAAAAATGCATCATGCAATAATATGTAGAGGGAGATGATATAGTTGGCATCACAGTCTTAAGTGAAGCCAAAGTTTGCTGACTATAGAAGGAGATAGAAATTTCTGAAAAGAGATAGAACTAATGATCTAATTTGACACTTTTACAGCAAGTGTATGAAAAGCTACCTGCACCATTCTGGGAAGTACCAATGGACTGGGAAGATCACCATAGAGGAATTGCTGTGACATCCGTCCTGACCCTCCTTGCAGTGATTACCCAAACAGGTGAGGTTTGTTCTACCTCACAGTAGGACTACTTTTCTTCCTGATTTTATATTGTTCTATGTGCAAGGGATTCTTAATGCAATGTATAGGAACAAATAGAGTATGTGACAGCTTGGTAAGGGAATTACCAACTTTTTCAACTTAACCTAATGTAACACATTAAAAAGCCATTCAAAATATATTTATACATAGCTAAAATGTGAATGTTATTGGTCTTTATGCAGATTAAGCATAAGATTTATGTGTGTAACAATTTGGTTATATTTGGGTTTGATTAATTTAACTTTGTTCTGTATTTTTCATTTATTTATAAACCTTTTCTTTACGTCTTGTAAAGAACATAAATAACTAAATATTTAAATAAACCGTATACAATACAGCTTAAACCATATAACATACAGGGATGTATATTTCTATACATTTCTATAAATACAGTGAATAATGATATTAAGTAGAACAACAAACCTTGGCATCAAATTCAGCAAGAAAATCAAAATGTTTCTTGAGATCTGTCGCAAGGATTGCTTCAATCACTAAGAATCGAAATCGTTTGAACTGTACATGGTCAAGATTAGACAGAAAATTGTATTCCGGTAGAGATAAGAAGAGACTCCATGCAGAGGCTGCATGATGATTTTCTAAAACTGATCTATCATTGTACAACACAGCCTGAAAAATAATTAATACAAATATTTTAAAGAGTTAAATTTCACAAAACTGTAAATAGCCAATTCATGTTATCATTGAGAAATTGAATACAATGGTTACTTGTATTATGCTAATGCTAAGCAATGAAATATAAATCTCTAAATAAAAACACCACTTGAGTTGGCTCAAGCAAGCCTAGACTAAGTTCAATTTCCTACTCTTAAGCAGGGTTTTCTTTCTCATAGAACGCCCAGAACGGAGTTCCGACACCTTTTTTGGATGGAACCTTGTAGGGTAGGCAAGGCAGGTTGTATGACATGTGTGAGTTCTGGCACCTTTTTTTTTTTTTTTTACAAAGAAAGCACTGCTCTTAAGGAAGAACCATGTTCAAATAAACCACAGAAGCATCTACTCAGTCATTTTTCTCCACTTTGTTGAAAAGAGAGGGAAAAGCTGAAGCAGGGAGCGAGAAGCTTAAAGTTAAATCTTCAAAGCACAGGTTTTTGATGAAAAAGAGAAGAGCTAAACAATATTATAGAGTGAAAAAAGGGCTAAAAGAACTACAGTCCTCTTCTGTGATCTGGCTATCTTAGTATCTGATTCACAGTGCAAAGTTCTGCACCATCACGTGTGTAACTATATTGTGGAGACAGGGCAATCCGTAACAATTATATCCTTTTCACCAAGCAACTTTGGTGCTTTACCTCTAGTGATGGATTAATGGGTCAAACGGCACGTTGAAAGGTATAAGAAATGTCACTGCTCATGCTGCTGCACAGGTTGCTTTGTAGGTTGAATGTCCCAGTATGATATCATCATGAATGTGGATATAAAGGATTAAATTTGGGTAAAAGGACCCACATTTCTGATAAAATTTGGAATATCCTTCCCCCAGATCTGCCTGATCCCTTACCTTCCTAGCCTTCCAATAAGCCTTGAAGATCTGATTTTTCTCAAAAGCTCTGAGCTGGATGGAGCCCAGTAAAGTTCTTTGTGGTTGTGTGGGGTGTGGATTTCCTTTGGGGCAGGGGTGTCAAACTGCCGGCCCGGGGGCCGGTTTCATCATACTGGAGCCGCGCCCACCCCATTGCCGGAAATGGCGAAAAAGCTCCGATACGTTGCGCAACGTCACGTGACGTCGCGAGTTTGACATGTCTGCTTTGGGACACCAGGAATTTTTATGCTTTTTTAAACTGTTTTTACTATTTTTATTGATTTATTTATTTAAGGACATTTATATGGCTACCCAACTCACTCTCAGCAATTGTTGTTAAGTTGCATAAGATGGATGACTATATAAAATAAATACCTAAAGTCACCAGATTACATCAGGATTTCAAAACTTCACTGACAATGAACTTGATACATGAAGCAGGGCAAATTTCATTTCAATTGCTCCTGGGCTTCCAAGAAATTATCTGAAATTGGAAAAATTTAATGGATCTCCTGATGTTCAAATTATTTTCTACTGAGATTGATGCAATAAAGCCTATTCTGCCCTTGAATGGACAAAGGACCAATCTGGATGGTTCCAAAGGCTCATAGTTTTCAAAAGATTCTTGAATATAAGAATTGTTGAAGCTCTGGTCTTACATTAGAATGAGATGAAACAGCTTGTCGACACTTCCAAGTCCTTTCCTAACCTCTTAGAATCAACATTACACCCTGATTGTCATGGGAAACATTAGTGATACAGGCATTATGATGTTTAAAGCATACACACCACAAAAGTGTATGTTTATATTTAGAAGTAAGCAGCATGCTGGCAATTTTGGGGATGATAACACATTAATCAGCTTGATTTAACAAAAAAAAAAAAAGACCAGAAAGAGTTCCAGAATGATTTCATTAAATAAGGTGATGGCCAGCTAAATGATAAATTGTTTAGTTCAAGTGAATGTAGTGTGATGCACGTTGTAGGGAGAGCCTTAACCTCACATAAACTCTAATGGGAACTGAGTTGCCTATAACTAGCCAGTTCATGGGATTATTATTATGTCACCAGAATGTGCAGAAGCTATGAAAAATGCAAATTTCATCATAGGAATCATTAGGAAAGGGATTGAAAACAAAACAATTGATAATGCAGTGCTCTTACAAAAATGGGCATCTATCTATATCTGAAATATTGTATACACTTCTGGTTGCCATATCTGAAATTAAAATGCTTAAGAAATTCAAATACCTTTCCTCCAAGAAAAGCTAGATTATCTAGGGCTGCTGAAGTTGGAAAAATGATTGAGGGAGGGCATATAAAATCACTCATAGCATGGAGAAAGTGGGTAGGAAGAAATTTTCCTATTTTCTCAAAATTGTAGGACCAGGAACCCTCCAATTAAGTTGATGGGAAAGAGATTTAAAACCACCACTATAGCAGCAGCAAGAAAAACCCTTCATGCTGCATATAATTAATTCTGAAATTCATTATCCCAAAATGCATTATCTCATTTTGTAAACTAGATTATCAGACCCTTGGAGGCCTTGGTCTCCAACTGCAACTGCTGAATGCCAGTAATAAATTTATCTTTACCTACAATTGCATCAGAGATGAGAAGGCAAAGCTAGCTTGCATTACCAACACTTGGATGGTTGTAGAGAGAAGTGTTTCCCCTCTCTGAATGTGGCCATCTAAGGTTGGGTTCAACTGCAAGCCCGTGGCAGGAGAGGAGAGAAGTGGCAACAATCATGCAGAAACTCTACAGAGACACTGTTCCACGAGTAGCTGGGTGTGAGGTCTTGTTCCTCAGGGAAAAGTTGGGACTGCTGCTGTTGTACCATCTCTTTCTGCAGAGCGCCATCTCTTCCTGAGCTGCTTAATCTCATCACTGGGTTGGCAGTATGACTTCCTACTGGCTTCCCCATTGACTTTGCTTGTGGGAAGCCAGAAGGAAAGCTCCAAAGGGTGATCACATAACTGTTGGACACTGCAATTGTCATAACTACAAGCTTTTTGCCAAGTGCCTAAATTGCAATCACGTGACTTTGGGAATGCAGCAATGGCCACAACTTCAAAAACCGGTCATAAATCTCTCTTATTCAGCACCATCATAACTTTGAACAGGCGCTGAATATACTGCTCTGTCAGTATAAAACTTAAAATATCAGAATTGCTGGAAATCTGATTATATAATGCTAACATTTAATAATTAGCATATATGATATTTCATATTATACAAAAAGTAATCCTACCTGTGGAGCATTTGTTGCTACCAGAAAAGCGTTTGTCCGACCAGGATGATCATAATCATGCATGGCTGCTGCTACATATAAAGCCATTAATTCTAAGGCTGGAATATTTGATGCTAAATATCCATAGTTTTCATCTACAACAGGACAGCTTTTGGAGGAAACATAGGCAATGTGGCCCACTGAAATATCATTTTCTATATCCAAAATAATAAGCATAAAAATAACATTTTAAGAATATTCAGAATTTGTATAAGCACTTTCAACATATCTTGCAATCTATAGATCTCACTGTGCTGGATCCAGTTAAATTTAAATTATTTAAAAGAAACAGACCAAATAAAAGAGGAGGTGGAATTGCTAAATATATATAAGAAATAAGTATACCTTTATAGAAATAGAGCACAACAATGATGAAAACTGTCTTGAATGCATTTCTTGAATGGGTCAATATAAAAGGGAGGGGGGAAATGACATTGCTATAGGTGTATATTATAGGTCACCTAACCAAAAAGGAAATAGATGAAGTTTTTGCTAATCAGTTAACTAAGGTATGTAGAAAGCAATAGTAATGGGGGACTTTAACTACCCTGACATAAACTGGGAGACAAACTCTGCATCAAGTGGAAGATCAAACAGGTTCCTGACAACCTAGCAGACAACTTTGTCTCCCAAAAAGTAGAAAAGGGAACTAGGGGTAAGCCATATTGGACTTAATTCTCATTAACAGAGATGAAATGATAGAAAGTGTTGAACTAACAGGAACCTGTGGGAGGGAATGATCCTGCAATATTGGAATTCAACATTATGCAAGCACAAGCAATAGAACACAAACTAGAGTCTTGAACTTCAAGAGAGCTAATTTCAATAAACTTAGAGAGAACTTAGGAAGGATTCCATGGAGGAGAATCCTCAAGGGGAAAACAACTCAAGAAGCTTGGGAAATTTTGAAAAGTGAGATTATAAAAGCCCAGTGTACCACAATACCAACAAAGAAGACAAATAACAGCTCCCAAAAGAAACCAGCATGGTTGCATAAAAAAACTCTCTGATAAATTAAAAGCAAAAAGGACAAGTATAAACAGTAGAAAGAGGGGCACATAACTAAGGCAGAATATCAGCATATAGCCCAAACTTGCAAAGATGAAATGAGGAAAGCTAAGGCTCAAAATGAACTAAGGCTTGTGATAGAAAGAGTGCATAGAAGAGCAACAAAGATGATTAGGGGACTGGAAGCTAAAACATATAAGGAACGTTTGCTGGAATTGGGTATGTCTAGTTTAACGAAGAGAAGGATGAGGGGGGACATGATAGCTGTGTTCCAATATCTCAGGGGCTGCCACAAAGAAGAAGGAGTCAAGCTATTCTCCAAAGCACCTGAAGGCAGGACAAGAAGCAACGTATGGAAACTAATCAAGGAGAGAAGCAACCTAGAACTAAGAAGAATTTCCTGACATTTAGAAGAATTAATCAGTGGAACAACTTGTCTCCAGAAGTTGTGAATGCTCCAACATTGGAAATTTTAAAGAAGACATTGGACAACCATTCATCTGAAATGGTATAGGATTTCCTGCCTAAGCAGTGGGTTGGACTAGAAGACCTCCAATGTTCCTTCCAACTCTGTTATTCTATTCTATTCTATTCTATTCTATTCTATTCTATTCTATTCTATTCTATTCTATTCTATTCTATTCTATTCTATTCTATTCTATTCTATTCTATTCTATTCTAAATATTCCCTCAGTCAGGACTCAATCAGAGTACAGCTTTTGATTCTGCAGAGCTTTTCTTAAAGGTCCTCTAAATTACACCAACATCTGAGCTAGTGAGAAAAACTTTCCACCACAAGTGGGGGAAGGCACAAGTGATATAAATTAAATATATATATACCTTAGAATCACGGTTCACTTTACATAATATTAAACAATTCATTCAATTCATGTGATGCTAAAAATAACAGAAAGTACTAAGGAGGTATATATTAATTGAAACAGGATGTTGAATACTGTTTCATTTTTCCAGTGGAATAATTTTAAAAAGCTCTAATTAAATTAAATACTTCAAGTATTTTTAGTCTGAGACATTTACTTTAATAATTAAATAAAGAAATATTACTCTAATATATTTTAGTTGTTGGAAACATGCTGACCAATCATGCTGACCACTGCAGTAAAATATAGGCCTTATTCAGGAGAAGGGTTCCAAATGAAAACAGTTTACTTGGCTAAGAAGTAAAGACTGTCAGCAAATATTCAATCAATTTCCTAAAATCTGATTGTTTATAAATGCCACCGAATTTAGTCTCAAGCATGTAATCTTCAGACAAGTGTACATTTACTTCAGGTGTATTCATTTCACTCCTTGTGGAATAACACCACAGACTTACCCCTGCTGGTTCCTCCCCCAGAGTCACTGTCTATTTGCTGAAATCCGGGAATTGGTCTCGTAGTAAGATACCATACGGCATGAAGAACATCTGTTGCATGTATTCGATTGTGATCTAAAATAATATAGTTTTTGTTAAATGTAACCTTGCCATTACATATAAAGACTCAATAACCCAAGGAAATACAAGACAGAGGCAAAGATAGAATTCTAATTCAAGAAAAAGGACCTCATCGACCATAGCTGTATTCCTCTCCCCTTGCATTAAACAATTTGCATGCCAGTTCTTCATCAGTTAATAGACCAGCAGAATTTCAAATCCACAGCTTAATTGCATGGGGATTCAATGAGATTTTTCACTAGGCTCAATGTGTCAATGAAGATTCTCAATCATCCAGTAGAATTGTCTGGAAGTTATGGCAACTGGATTTCTTTTTTTATTATTATTTTTGAAACGTTTCACTGCTTATCAGTCTGAAGAAGCAACTTGGATAAGCAGCAAAACATTTCAAACCAAAAAGAAAACAAGTCTAGTTGCCATAGGATCATCAAGAATTTAAATCATATCTCCTTAATATTTTTTTAGATTAGCAAAGCCTTACAGACATTTGGTTTTATCTATTTTTCTTATTATTACTTTATAAAATCTATTGTTATCACATAATTAGTAAGATTGAGAAAGAATAAAAGAAACAGAAATAAAACTCTACTAAATTACAGTAATAGTTCCTTACAAATATAATCTAATATAATAAAACTCAACAGAAGTCCCACATTAATAAATTAGCCTAATTTTGTCAACCATTACTCACAAGGAATGTCTCGATAGCCATTTTCGAGTGCTTGAAAGTAGTTCATGAAATGCTGAATTGGAATTTTGAAAATTTCAAATAAACCAGTGTCTTGAAACAATGTAAATGCAACCTAAACACACAATAGACACATATTAAAACACTGTGAAAAACATTTCAATTTTTTAAGATCCTTTGAGATTGAATGTTGGTTTTCCCCCTTGTGTCTCTTTCTGGAAACCCTCTGCCCTACCAAGGATTGATAACCAAGAACTCCTCAGCCTGAAAAATATGTAATGCGAAAGGGGTAGAAAGGGGTCTTAACAAAAGTGAGGAATCACCTTATATAAATTTTAGCATTGAAACCATTAATGGGTTTTGTCAAATGCTAATATAATATAAATTTGCTAAATCCAGCTTTACCCAACCCTTGAGATTTTCTTCTCACCTGCTAAATCTGTACAAGTGTCACATGTATATATGTATATGCATGTATACATACAAAAAGAGCAAATCTGAGATATATCTCGGATGAAATATCTTTGATTAATTAACTTAATTGATTGACAAAATCAACTGATCCATAAGTACATATATTAACTATTATCTCTACTATAGAATACCATGCATATACAAACACATACAGCAAATGCATATACAACACATATAGCAGAAACAGCAGAAAGATTTGTAAGGCCAGCTTACAGTCATTTCCACCCTATGCCAATAACAGTTTTCAACATCTTCTTTCATTCTTATCTATACTCACTTTCTCCCCATTCACATGGAGCTATTTGAGGAAAAACATGCTTCAATCTGGAAAGCAGGTATGTTTGTTTGCAAATGTGCTACTTATTTATATCAAAGTTTGTATGTATTTATGCAGAGAGAAAACAGCTTTCAAAATGTTCATATGTATATGGTTAGAAGTATTTAAATAAAATATATGGAATTTCTACGGTAATAACAAACCTGGCTAAGGATTGTTCTAGATTTATCTCCCATTTTTAGAACAAGATCAAATATTTGAAAATTCCAGCTGTTCATTTCCTCCATTAATGAATTATAGTTTTCTATTAACATCAGTTCTAATGAAGAATGCTCCTCAATCTGTAATAGAAAAAACAGTAAGACAAAATAAGAACAGAACTTGAAAGCAAACTTGTTTTGTTAGCATGTAATCAAGGTCTGTTAATCAGAATTCAGCCAGATACTATTATGGTTATACAGAGTAAAGGGACATTTGTATGCATTTAGCTCTTAGTATAAATTAAGATTATTTGAGTGTTCTGATGTGATCACTGCAAATAAATAAGCGGTATCTTCCCAGATAATTTAGTTCAAAAATATGTTCAGTTTTCACAACATATGTTCAGTCTTCATAACAATCTGAGATATTTTCTTCCCCCAATTTAAAATAAATATGTATGTATGTATGTATGCACGCATGTATGTATGTACTGTAAATTTCAATCTGGGCTTTGCTGAAGTAGCTGGTACAGTTATAAGTGGAACTCTTTTGTTAATAGCACTTATAATTCAACATTTGGAGTCAATAAAGATCTGTAAAGAACCAACACCAGCATAAACCATCTAAGATGCTCAGAGAGCTAGAATGGTACTGCAATTATAATTGGAGGCAAAATAATTTGAACCTGTTATCATCATACACAGAATTATATGTAAAATGTTTTTAATATGTTTTGTATACATTTACTGCATCTTCTTTGATTCTGATATTTTGAAAACTTTCAAGATCTATTCAAACAAAACCCAAAGAAAATAAAATTCAGTATAAATAATATTATAATAACAGTTTTGTAAACAGGTAAAGTATAGAAGAAGTTTTTTACAATAAAATATCAAACATCTTATTAAAACCAGAGGCCAAACTATCAAGGTGTTCCGGAAATAGTATACTTGCATCAGACTGAAAATTCTTAGTTTGATCCATTTGATTTTTTGTTTCTTCTATTTCATTCTGCAGTTTCTCTGCAAGATGGTTGGGGTCTTTTGAAACTTGGCTGTTTCCATCTTCACCTTAAACAAGGGCACATAATATTAGCAATTTAATTAAAGCAAATTTGTTCAAAAATATGATTTCCTAACCTGAATTCCATTATATGGCTTTTATAAAACATACTAGCATTTGAAAATATTGGAATTACTATAGACTGCTCTAAGATTTTTAAAACAGAGTATACAAATGTTTTAAATAAATACTAAAATATCTTAACTTTAAAAAAAAAGTATTTTAGATCCATAGGGCTCCCACCCTGATGACGTTTAAAAAATTTCTGAAAGGTTGGCTGTTTTCCCAAGCCTTGAATTAGGATGGGTGGTGGGATTCAGCTGGTTTGCACCACTTTGGCAGAACCGGTAGCTAATTTTTTGTTGCCCAGGCCCACAATGGACTTCCGAAAGCGGCATCCACATAGAGAACCGGTTGTTCACATATTTGAATCCCACCATTGGTATTAAGCCCCTTGTGGGATTTTATCTGTCACTGTGATTTTTTTTTCTTGACATACATTGTTCTTTTCTTGGTTCTTTTGTTGTTACTAATGTTGGATGCTGTATACCTCTCAGATTCTTAATGGAGTTGAGTGACCTTCTAAATTTAATAAATAATAAATAAATAAATCATCTTCTAGCATCACCTCCCACTGCATTGGCAAGACCAACCTTTCACTACCGTGCTTTGGGGGAGTGGAGAATGGGGAAAACATTTTAAATTCCCATTTTCTATACAAGTGAACTCTGCTCATGTTTTCCACTTCACACAGTTCTGGACAAAGAACAGTGCAGCTGAGATTGAAATTCACAAATGTGGATCCCCTGAAGTGCTTTTTGTGAATTCATATTCTCAAAGAAACAGTTATTACTGAAACAAAGGATGTTAAATATTCACACGGACCAAAATCCTACCTGATTTTTGGCTTTGACATTCTGCTACAGATTCACATAATGAGTTTGCAACAGAGTTGAGCACTTGTTGTCTGCAACTTATGGAAGATTAAAAAAAAAATCCAGAAATGTCATTTTTAATTTGTATTCACATTTTCCTGAATGTATTTTTTCTTAAATATTGTATCAATGAAGAAATATTAAAACTCTGCAAGAATATCACTGCTGTAATTCCAGTTTGAGTATCCACCAATATCATTATAGCTACACTCAAGAAGAAAAGAGCTCCAAGGAAGCATAGAGGACCAAATATTTTTAGAAATAATTTTTCAGGTACTGTCTCACATATTTTTAGACTGTATATAGAAGAAGAATGATATGTATAAAAAAGTAAAGGCGGATGCCAACACAAAGAATCATCAATAAAGAAAGCTTACTAAGTTCAGGTAAAAGCAGCCAATAATGTATAAAATGTAACTGCATACCATAGCAAACAAGTTATTATTTAATTTAAAAAGTAGTGGGGGGGACACCCTAAGATGACACCATCTATTAAATAAAGATATTATATATGCTAACTGTTTAAACAAAAATAGACCATTACCTATTGCAGGTATAACACGAAGATGTTCTAAATTGTTGTTGACAATCTGAAAAATTGAATGGGCTTCCCAGAGATTTATGTAAATTAACGCTAGGTTTAGTAAGGAAATCAGCCGTATCAGGAAACTCCACAGGCAATCGGTGGTACCCACTGGAGAGAAACCCGTTACTGGGTAAAATGCCAGGACTTAAATTCTGAGAAATTCCTAAAGGGGAGACGGAGGAGAAACCAAAGAAATAAAATGTTAAAAGAATAACACTGGCTCAACAGATGTTCTCAGAGTTGCAGGTAAAATCTGGAACTCTCTTGTCTAAAGAGGCTAGTTTGGAATCTGTCTGTTGGTCTACTTCTACTGAGTCAAGATCTTTGTTTTCAGCAAGGCATTCTCTCTATAAGTTACATAAATATTAAAAGATGCTAGCTAGATGTAAAGACTGATTTTCAATATATTGTGATTTCTGCTTTTATAGATTTCATTTAGTGAACTTTGTTAACCAATTTTAATTTAATTTAATTTAATTAATTTTCCACAAGATTATCCCAGATCTACTGAGTTCTTTTGCAAAAAAAAAAATGTAGTAGGTCTACTTATACATTATTGTTAGAAAGAAAACTTGCTTTACATGTTAATTCATCCTTGTGTTTCTATTAATACGAGTCAGCACCATGCATATGTATAAATACACACACACACACACACACACACACACACACAAATGCACACAATGTGAGTGTGATGTGTATCCTACAGCACTTGTTATCATCTCTGTCTGAGGACAATCGGGACCTGAAATTTTTGAAGTGTACCTGGCTACTTATATGTAATTCTTCATTTGATCACCTCTGGATTCATATAAGAGATTCCACACTTTGTCCTATAGCAGGGGTTCTCAACCTTGGCAACTTTAAGACTTGTGGACTTCAACTCCCAGAATTCCTCAGCCAGCTTTTTCTGGGAGTTGAAGTCCAGAAGTCTTAAAGTTGCCAAGGTTGAGAACCCCTATAATAGCCTTTCAGAATGTCCCAGAAGGCTGAGGGAGGAACTGGAACTATACTGGAGGTTTAAAGACTGTTCAAATATTAAAAGGCTGACAAAATTTCAGCCAGCAATATTTGCAACCTGCAAAGTTTGCTCTCAAGGACAAGCCTCTGGACCGCTTAGTAAATATTAGCAAGTATTTATGATCATTTTCATACTTATAACCTTTGCAGCTTCCCCATGGTCATATGATCAAAATTCGGGCGCTTGGCAATTGCAATTTGTGGTAATTGCATTATCCCAGAATCATGTGGTCACTATTTGTAACCTTCCCAGCCAGCTTCAAATAAGCAAAGTCGTGGGGGGACGCCAGATTTCTTAACGACTGCACGATCCACTTAACAACTGCAGTGCTTCATTCAACAACTGTGGCAAAAAAAGATCATAAAATGAGGCACAACTCAACAACTGCCTCGCTTAGCCATGGAAATTATGGATTCAACTGTGGTCATAAGCCAAGGACTACTTATGTATAAAAAAAAATCTATAACATATTTCTCTTAGGCAAAATTGGCACAATGTTTATTAAAGGACAGGGGAATCTTTACTGCCACACATGTAACACCACTGTTTTGTGAGCTGCATGGGTTCCCAGTGTGTTTCTGGGGGCAATTGAAGCTGCTTTAAAGTTCTTCATAGCTCGGGGGAATGTCATTTTCTATCCCTCCAATTCGATCCAGCAGGTGGTTATCCTACAGATCCCATCAGCCAAGGAATGTTGACTGGTAGGAACCAGAAAATATGCCTTCTTTACATAACCCTTGCCATCTGGAATATTCTCCCTTCAAATATCAGCATGACCTTGACCCTGCTGGCCTTTTGCAAGGCCATGAGAAGACCCTGAGTGTATTAAGAGTCCCATTTCCTGTCTGTATTAGGAACCAGTTTTACTTGGTGCTGCATATATTTATTTTGTATTGTTTAAATTATTTCTAATATTTTTTTACACCGGATAATGCATATTGTCCAGAGGTAGCAGCTATAGAAATCAATCAAATAAATAAATAAATAGAAAACGCTTTCTCTTTTGTGTCAACAATACTTATTTTAGCTACGTACACTATAAGCAACTCACCCTTAGCTTCAGTAGCAAACAGAACAATAAAAACATCTTTTATCATTTTGCAAAGGATGCATTTTTTTCACTTGAGCAACAAAGTATTTTAGTATACTTAAAATAAGCCAAGCAATATAATAATTTCAGTTGCATAAATGTACTGTTTTCAAAAGAAACCGTATCATTCTATGGACATCCCTACAGACAATGTATAAATAATTGTTACATTCTTACCGGCTCGTCTAGAACCTGCATTGTTTGCTGAGGTCACGGAAGATGATCTTTGTTTCGGAATTGTCAACAAGTTTGTGCCAAGAAGGGGCCCATTTGGATAAGATCCTAGGCTAATTTAAAAACAGAAAAAGAAATATTTCTCCTCTTATTTTATCAAACTAAAATACAGGAAAGTTAAAATTGCAATTAAATGTAAGATATCAATCAATGATTATAGCCAAAGGCCAGGAATATTGAATACTAGTAAAAGACAGTAAAATAAAACAAATAGTAGTAAAATGGTAAAGTAGTAATAAGAACCCTAAAACAAAACAAAACACTGAATGACTCTCAGGTGCAAAAGACCAGGTCCACATATGAAAGTTCAAATTAACTGATGTATTGTTAAAAGGAATCTTCTCAACTAATGGTCAGTGCCTGGTTGTACGCAAGGTTGTATGTAAGGATTCAAGGCTGATCCCTCTTTTTACTCCTCTCCCTGGCACTATCAGTCTTTCTCCTACAATGACATCATGCTGGCTAATAAACTAAGTTCTAACTATGGGAGATCTTACATTAGTTGATGCCTCACATTCACTGCATCTACATGGTATTTTGCTATAATTTTGGCTACAGAGGCTTTGCATTCTGAAAAGTATAAAGCTCATACAGACATGAAATTTATATAATTGTTCTTACTGATGAAGCAGGAGTAAGCTATGTTTGTATATGTCTCCATACAAATGCAAAATCAGACATTGTTTCAAATCAACCTTAAGCACATCAGGGTTGAACTCTAGACTATGGACAGAGTTAGCACGCAGTGCTGCATTCTAACCACTGCACCGCCAGGGCTCTTATCTAATGCTACATAAAATAAAATTTGCTCGTTATTGTACAAATCTATGTGGCAGTCCTGTGGGCAATAGATAGTTAAACCTTTGTAACTTCTAAAAGATCTTGAGATTTTTGAGTCATTTGAGTTATAGCATTAGCATTTCTTTCATTCCACCTTAATTATATTTTGGTGTTAATGACTCCTAAATTCTGTGCATACCTTGCCTCAGTTTCCATCACTCCATTATACATTATTGTAGCTAATGTAAGAGGATGATGGAAACTCTCTAGATGTGCTACCACTTCTAATTTTAAAAGATACAGTAGAAATTTTGGGAGAAGTGATCCAATAATCACCACTGACCTTCTCTCTGTTCTCAATTTAGCTATCAGTTGCCAATTAACACACCTTTTAAAATGCAGAGGCCCACTGTCAACTGTCTCAGATAAAATCTCATTAGTCCTTTGATAAACTTGGATGGAGAGGCTCCACTAGGCATTCATCCAGATATTAACATTACAATTGTGAGTAGAAAGTATGATCATTATCACCCATATTAGCATTTAAACCCCACCAATTAATATAAATTGATTTTTTGGCATACTTGTTTGATATGTTTTTCAATGTGACCTTATTTGGGACCTACCGTATTTAGAGGTGTGTACAAATTAAATTATTCTTATAAAATATGGCAGTATTGTAACTACCTGACACTCTAAGGAAGACAGGAGAATTTACCAATTCACCCTTGGGTCTATCACCTGACTGGGACAAACTGACTTAATATAAAACCTACTTTACTCTGTTGTAATTCATTGTACTATAATACAAGAACATCAAATTTTGAAAACTATTTAAAAAAGAAATAATGTTTTGATTTTGACTGCCATTCTAAAATATTCCATGATAAGGTGCAGGTGTGGTTTTTTGGGGATAGTCTTTTTCCTGCTTATTACTGCCATTTTCATGCAAGCCATCAGAACAACAGAGCAGTTGTAATGATTATTATGTGTATCTTATTCTCCAGGCATAGATACATAATTATATACTAACAGATATAGTAAAGGTTAAATACACACAGGATTGCAGCTAAGTGCTATAAAATAGCATAGAAACATATTTTAGAAACATAATAAAAAGAGTCGCACTGTATCAGACCATAGACTTAATTATTCCAGCAATCTCTTGTGAGAAGCCCAAACATAGGACATAGGTACAAGGGAAAATATTTTTCATGCTCCCTAGCAATTATGTATTATTATCAATAACTAATAAAAGGTAACCACATGCTGAAGACACAGGCCCTATTGAGGGAATTTAAAAACAAGGATCCACTTGGTCACACTCTTTCAGTCTGTGATACTTTTTTTAATATTGCAATGCCTTATCTACAAAGCGAACATAGAATTTACAATGCACAAAGTAATTTAAAAGAAACAGAGGATCATCACCTCAAATATTTGCAGGAAATCCTTCTTTAGCGACCACATTCAGGACCAGTAACTTGATCATTAAGCAAACAAAAGTGAAACTATGACTATGCTTATGATTTTATTTCAGCTTTCCTTTGCTTTACTGACCTGCAAAGGTTGTAAATGCAAGGATTAGCTGTAAAATTTCTTTTTCATCATTGTCACAACTACAAAGAGCCACTAAACAAAAACAGTCGAAATGAAGACCATCTGTATAGCAGTTTTCTAAATTCAAAGTACATTGCTCAGCAGGAGACATCACCCCAAAAACTCAAGTAAGACATCTTTTTTTTCCTTATCAATAAGATTACAGAAAAAAAAAATAAGATTACAGAACACATTTATTCATTTTTCCTATTTCTAAACTGCCTATTTCCCTCAGAGGATCTCTGTGTGGTGAGAGAGGCTCTGGGCAGTGACTACATTATAATTATTTAAGAAAGTTATAATTGATTGAAAGTAATGGTTGCAACTGTGCACAATAATTATTTATCTTTTGCTGTTGTTTATTAACAATGCAGTAATTTTGGGGTGAATAATGACTGAAGAAAAATGGATAGAAACAGCATTTCTGTTCTTGTTGCCTTAACTCATGTAATTCTTAAAGAAAAGGTTTTTAGCTGTAGCTAATTTCACATGAGAAATATACATGAGTAATTTAGAAATCCTGAACTGCTAATATGTATTGCATTAATATATTTAAACAGATTGTTTAAATAGTCCAAATTTGAAATGCTCTCCAGACAATGTGCTTAACTAGGAAATGGAATGTAGAGTAACATATTTCTGGAGAGTTTTATCAGTACACTCTTTTATTTATTAACTTGTCCACTGTGTAACTCTGTGCCCATTAACTAATGCATTCTATTTCTTATAACATTAATGTGTAACTCTGTAATTGCCAATTTAATGCTAATGCATAATAAGCATGTAATTTTTTCTATCAAATCTATCTTGAGGTGCTATTCAAAAAGAATACTTAAGATTTAAGAAAACATTCATGTTATATAATTTTCACTTTAAAAAATGAACCAGAAATTAGCAGCTATGTTGTAAAACTATGCCATCTGCTGTTTGAAATCTGAAATAGGAAAGCATCGAGGTATGCTCAGAACTCAACAAATTTTAAAGGCTGATGTTTTGTTGTCTAGACAGGCAACTTTCTATGTATTTTATATATATTTTAGATGCATATAAAATTGTATAACTTTAGCTACATCTGTTAATACTTTGATTCATTTGTCTATTTGAAAAAACCTTATAATTTATTGAATCATATATATAATTGTGTTAAATATAATACAAATTAAATTAATAATTTAGTGGTGAGTGAAATCTGAATCTTGTTTATATGAACCAATCAGTAATATGATTCAGTAGCTATTCTTGCACCCATAATTGTATCTATTTAATAGATTTGTGGAAAATTTGTCAATAGACTTTCCCCTGCCTGTGCATTTTGGCTTCCATATCCTCTCTTTCATGACTGATAAATTAATTAAATTCTTACAGCTAATATATTGATCATTCTTTATTGCTTATGTGTATGTTCTTACTGTTTCTTTCAAATATTTGCTTAAATGTTTCTTGCCCTGTCCAGGAGGAGAGCTCTCCATCACAATTTCTTGACCTCTGTAGTAGAAGCTGCATTTCTAAAATTCATTCTCTCTGACTTTTAGTTAACTTTTATTTTTCAGTTTACACAAAAGAACTACTAGCAACCAAATGAGGTCTAAGTATACGAGTATAACTTATAAATCAACAAAAGATGATTCTCAAACTTAGGGAGAAATTGTTATTTGTAATACTTTTCAATAATGTCATTTTTAGGTTATCAGATCTGGGCAGCAAAAATCTAGATGATTATTAGTGAGCAGCAAATATTTAATTATTTGCTGCCATCTGGTGTCATCTGGATTTCTGCAGTTCTGTTCTGAAAGTTTTTGTATTCTAGTATTCTAGTAACTGGTAGTTCTTCTTATGCATTAGCTTTAACATCCTAAGTTATAGTTACAGGGAAATTTTTTAAAAAAAACCTAAGAATTAATGTATTGATAAATTTAATTCATCTAGGACACTTAAAATTTACTGTTTCTTCTCACAAAAGCAAAATAGATTGTAGGTAAGCTAATGGCATTCACTCCTTTTATATTATTTCTAAGAATTATCACCTAAACTAGAATGATAGAAACTAACTAAATGCTTCAAGTAGTGCTAGATTCCTATTTTTTATTTCACTATCCAATAAATAATTATTATACAGAAATGACTTATCTTTAGTTGCAATTTCATTTCTTAACTTTTGATGTTCAGAATTAATTGCTGTTAATTGCTTCCAAAAACACCATACTTTAAACAGCTTGGATGAATGAAGTAATGCACTTTTACACTTTTGATAGAATTTGAGAACCATATTGTACAATACTGATTCAATTCAATATATGTGTCTGAATATTTTGTACTGTAGGTAAAAAAAATATTGTGAAATCTATATTGGTAATATTCTAACCTTGAAAGATTATACTCATGGTGTGACCTTTTGCCATTATTACGTTCCCATCTAGAAGTTGGATCAATGGGCAGCAAGCTTCCTAAACTTCGCCTTAACTGTGGTGTTGGTAAGCTATTTCGGCTGCTCAGTACCTAGTTAAGAACAAGTTAAGAAAAATTATACTTTTCCCCCCACAAAATATCCATTTTAAATCATGCTTTGTTGTTCTCAGCAGTACACAAATATATATTAGCATCATTTAACTTAAATCAGCTAGCTAAAGTAATTAAACTTTAAACAACTTTGATCTTTAAAAAGTTTGACTACCATATTGTCAATTCTCTTTATCCATTTATTTTTCTGCCATACGTGCCACAGAGGATTGCATTTATACAAATGTATTCATATTGTATTTGAGCCAATATCGTCTCCAACATTGACTGGAAGGTCTGCTATGGTAACAGAAAGTTCATTTCTTAGGCAGTTTAAATTTAAACTAAGACTTTAGTTAAGAGTGGAAAGTTATCAGTTTGACTGCAATTTAAAGGTCAAACAGGGAAATTACATGAATTAGAAGCACAGAAACTGAAGCAAAACAGACAAACTGAGAGAGAAAAAAGTTTAGGTGAAAAGGCCTGGAAAAAAAACCAAGGAGCAGGTCAGCTGATTGATTGAAAGCAGTTGTATAATGCTAATGAGATAATATATGATAGGAAAGAAAGAATGCTAGTAGGGAAAGAAAAAGCTGGTTCATGGTTAATAGAAATATAATAAAATAGGCAATAATTTGCAAGTAAGAAGCTTAGGCAGCCACTAGCAGAAGAGATAAGAACTCAAAATTAGGAGGCAAGTAGAAAAATATAGATGAAAACTGCTAGATAGCACTGCAGTTTGTGTGTGTGTGTGTGTGTGTGTGTGCAAATGTAAAATTAGGTACACTGAATTAAATGGACAGTTACTTGGCTACACATGTACTTATATTCTATTAATAGGTGCAATGTAGGCCAACCTTCTGCTCCATGCAGGGATCCAAATTAAAAGATCCATGCTATCAGTCATTGCTTAAATTCTTCTTTACATAACTGGTTCCATGGCTGAACTGAACTGCTTTCGCTTAGGAAATGTTTTCCTAATTTTCAAATGATACCTGTCTACTTTTAACTTTGCTATTCTGTGACCTGCCCTCAAGGTAAAAAATAGATTATAATGTTTTTATCTGTAACATCCTTTCAACTACTTGAAAGATGAAATTGTACCCAAGTAATCTCTTTTAAAAAGGCAATCTGTTTTCTTACCCTTTCCTTAGTTTCTAGTGCCTTGATTATTCCATCTTTCCTTAAATCTGTCCCAGTTTGTCGAAATCTTAAATGTGGTGCTCAGAATTAGATAAAATATTCAGCGTGAGGTTTGATCAATTCAGAATAAAGTGAAATGGTTACTTCCTATGATTTGGCTTCTTTTGATGCAGCCTAAACAGTAGCAGCTTCTTTTGCAGCCACATCATGCTGATAACATACTCAGTTTATAATAAATTATTCCAAGGTTTTCTTCAATTTATGATTACCAAAACAGATAACCCCTATTCCTTGCACTCGACATTAATGTCCAAAGTAAAATATTTCTAATTTATCTCCTCAATTTTATTACTTGATTTTTAGTCCATTTGGCTACTTTACTAAGATCACTTTGAATTTTATTTCTGAATTATAGAATATTAGCTATCTTATCAGTTGTTTGCAATACAACCATTCCCTCCATCTTCTTATCCAAGTTTTTAGTAGAAATGATTAAAGTGTCCAGCACCAAACTCTTTAATATTCAGTCATTTATTCTCTTCCGTTTGATTAGGAATCAGTGATGAAGACCATTTGTGTATGGTTTGCAAGCAGTTAAATATCCATTTAATTGGCATGGCATCCAATCCATATTTAATTAGCTTACTTATTAAAACATCATAGCCTATTTTGTCAAATACTTTGCTGAACTTAAGATATTTTACTGTAGGTCTACAATATTCCCTTTAAAGCATCAAGGGCTCCCAAAGTAAGATAACTGTAGCTCAGTTGAGACATATTCTTGAGAAATCGTATTGACTTCTGGTAATCAATGCATTATTTTCATTGTGCTTAGAATCTTCATAGGTATCAGTATCAGACTGATTAACTGGATCTTTTCCTTTTCCTTGGAAAATGTGACAAAATTTGCCCTCCTCAGTTTTGCCTGATCCTTCATTCTTTCTCCAGGAATTTCCAGTGGAATATATGAAATGTTGAACATCAGCAAGTTCTTCAGCCTCATAAGATATAGTTGATTCAGACTAGAGACTTAGCCTCAACGTAAGTTTCTTGACCATACTTCTATCATTCTCATCCTTCAATCCTACCCTTTTACCCTAGTCCTATAATTGGCTGGTGAGATACATATCCTCTTCCTAAAGAAGTCAGTGCCAAAATAGGAGTTAAGCAATTCTAATAAAGGAGAATATTAGTAGCTCAGGGTTGACATGAGGGGTCCTTGGTGCTCTCTGAGCTTGCTTGTTTTCTTGTAGACGTTTCATTACCCGAACTAAGTAACATCATTAGTGCTCTATGTACAATTAAGCAATTCTGCTTTTCATTACCTATAAGCCTTTTGCTATTTTCATTAAGCAATAGGTTTATTTTATCTTCTGTTTATTTAAAAATTTCTGAAGAAGTTTATATTGCTGTTTTTTTAAACATTCCTTGACTGACTCATTCTGAGCTTCATCCTTCTGAAACTCTAAAGCGGCCAATTTACTTTTCTTCCGTCACCTGCCATTTTTTCCATTTAGATGGATCCTTTTATTTTTATTTCTGTATAGCCACACTAGCTTCTTCCGCAGTCATTTTTTTCCTTCAAATTGTCCACAATTGTCCTTTCAGTATAACTGTTTAAGCACATAATAGGAGCTCTTTTTCCCATTAGCTTCTCCTGACATATTTTTGTTATTTGTGTTTATGAAAATTAAGAGTTCATGTTCAAGTAGCCTATTTGCAGTTTTTGGTAATATTTTCTTTCAATATTTCTGCTTCTTCCAGAGTGTCAATCTAGTCTCTTTTAATATCCGGTCACTAATGTCTAATGACAGCCTCCATTCTTTAAAGGAGAAAGGTATTAACAAGATAAGTGATGAACAGTATAAGTAAACAATTTGCTGTTGCAACCCTTTTTCCTCATTATTGAATTAAATTCTGTTTAAATAATGTGAAAGTTAAGGGAAGAGCAGAAGAGAAATTCAGGAAGGCTTTAAGCACTAAGTTCTCTATTACATTGAAAGTATTTACATATGTTATGTACATGCTACATATTGATTACGATGATAATATTTTAACCTTGTGCAGCTTACAGTCTCCTCTTTCAGATGAGTCTTCTATTTCTGGACAGGAATAAAACCCCGGAAAGGGAGTAAACAGGTTTATCTTTGGCCTGCATGAACCTGAGAAAGCACTTAGCAAGTTATCGATGCTTTGAAGAGAAGAAATCACATGTGGGGGAACAACTGGATCAGATAGAAGATCAGACACCATGTTCCGAGTCTGATTTAGTACAGAAAGATCAACTTCAGTTCCACTGCATGTATTCTATAATAAGGAAAAATAATATTGGCTATTAATAACAGAAGCTTTTATCTTGTACAAAAAAAATTATACAAATAGGAAATATATCTCAGATATTCTGTAAAGGTACATACAACATGATACATAATATATTTTAACAAGTAAATCTTGTGGAAATACACTGTAATATTAAGATAACATAAAATATTTGAAATTTTTGCTTCTTATTTACAATTTTGGAAAAATATCTGCGTAAATAAAACTGTATCATTTCTAAGCTTTTTAAATCAAAGTGAGAATAGTATACATTTTTGGCACAATACTGCCAGATGCTTTTAAATCTTTATTCTCAGCTGTATTTAACTGGAAAGGTGTGTCATTCTAAGAGAAGTGCATTTTTTAAACATTAGAAAATGAAACATCTTACAAGGATACAAAACCAAGCATTTGTTGCTACATAATATGAATATTATACAAGTAATACTGAAGCGTATCAGTTATTCTGCATCACATTTCCTGAGGCACAATTCTCATTTTTCAGAGTTATCCTGAAATTATTCTTAATTATAAAAAAAATCAACAAATCTCATTCTTGCTTTATTTTGCCCATATATAATGCTACTTCGTTGGATTCTAATCTCTGGTTTCCCTTTAGATATTAAGGAAATATTGACCTTCCAGACACTGTTCTCTTAATCAGAAGCCTGCTTCGGAATGGGGAAGCTCACAGGAAGAACCAAACGAGATTAGTTACTTATGGCAGGCTAGAATAAAACAATATTCAAATGAAATTCACCATTGAAAGCAATCAAAACTAGAGTGGTGATAGAGGTGGGTTATAATTATCTATGCTCCAAGGTTTTAACCCTAAGCTTTTTCCTCTCTTCTTTCTCAGTCATTGGAGATTTTGAACTTTCTTCAAGACAAGAAGAGCAGTTGTGTTGACTTAATGGTTCTCTCAAGAAAACTACTACTACTTGCCAACTTCATTTTCTCCTGCTCCTCTTCTTCTTTTCCTTCTCCTTCAGGAGGTTTCATATGCTTTTCACCCTTGCTCTCTATGACCTTGTATGGCCAACTTTTCATGATACTCATCCTTTCCCCAAAACTAGGAAAAGTAAAAGTATCTAACAGTGATGGCTGGCTTTCCTGATAATGATGTTTGGGAGTGTTTTCATGGGCAATCTAAGCATAATCCACTTGATCTACAAGGGGGTGCTAAAAGGCTTCAAATTCCTAGGGGGAAAAATAGAGGAATATAAAAGAACCAGATACTTGTCCAGCAGTAGGTACTGTAAGGGTGCTTACTCTAAGTGGCCTGAAATGGAAAGATCTCAGTGGAAGCATGAACTTTATAATTATAAATTAATCTGGCCAGTTCTAAGAAACTTTCCAGTTCTAAGAAACTCATGGGAATATACTGGTGTCAGAGGAATTGGGAAGGGGGAAATTTTCCATGCACAAAACAGGAGAAGAGTCATAGAGTAAGAAATATCGTAACTTCTGGAAAGCCATCAGGGAAGTGACTATTCAGCTCTCAGGAACAGGTTATTACACAGGACTGTTCCATATTTGTCAGGTCAGGTAGAAGGATGTTGAGGGCTGTAAATCTGTCACCCTGGGGAATCAAAGGTGATTATCCTAGTCCCAATGAATATGTCAATTGTGAGGCAATGCCCAAGTCTATCAGAAAATATAATGGAGAAACTAAATAAAGCTAAAACAACTCCTAATGACTGCTGAAAATGCTAGAGGTTTGGTGCTCTTCCTAATGGACCTCATGTATGAAGTGTGACAACAATCATTTCAATTTTAAGAAGGGGCTGGATGAATATATTATGAATATAAATAGGTAGAATATATTTTTGTGTTATGGAAGTTTTGGTGAAGTTGCCTGTTCTTCAAACTATTCATGACAAAAGAGAATGATTGCCTATACAAAATTTCCCCAGGTTTCCTGAGAAAGAATCTACATTATTTGCTGCACATTTTTATTTACAGGGCAAACATTAATTTGGTATTTTTTCCTGCTAGAATTATTTTTATATTTTACATGTACTGACCTGATGATGAAGTTTATAGCATTGCTTTAAATCCCAGTCCCAAAGAATCATCTGTAAAATAAAAAAAAAACAGGAAGTTATAAGCAAACTATCCATATTTGGCAACATTCAACTCTTCAAGTCATGAATTATAAATAAAAAAATACTTTTATAAATCATCTGTATTTGCTGCTGCACTTCACTTCTATAAATAAAAAGTGAAGATAAGGAGGTTCCTAGAAAATAATTAGTTTAAAAAGTAATTTAAACAATTTTGTATTTGACAAATTTCTTTCCTGTAAATACTTTTTCAATATATTCATTAAAAACTATTTATTTGTTCAATTTATATAACTGTCCATATGTGATTCTGGGCAGGTCAAAAAGAGGAAATACAAAAAACAATACAAAAAATAACAAATATCAGATAAGAACAATAATTGAAATAATTCAAAATAAAAGTAATTAAAACCATAAAAAATACAATCTACAAGAGTAACACATTCAAAATAAGAAGTATAAAAAACAATCTATAGCATTTAATCCAAGCTATTAATAGTATAGATGTTGGAATATTCATGAACAGGAAGAGTCATGTGGTAACTCAGTCAGCCAATGTGAAGAAAGTGCTACTGAGTCTGTGCAAAGGAGTAGTGAGTTAGGAGCTGGATTTCCAGTCTCAAATTTTGTCTCTGGTCTGTCTCTGTAAGAAGTCTTCATTAAGCTATGTTGCTGTAAAGAAGAATGGTATTGTAAATATTTTTATATAAATATAAAGTTATTTTGAATCAGCTAAATGCAGTCAACTGTTAGAGCTTCTGATTTATTTTTTTACCAATAGAGAAATTAAAATTCTCTAACAATAGATATTTAGCAGGATCCACACCACCAGAATATTGTTTTCCATTTCAGAAATAAATTAGAGACAATGGGATAGGCAGATGAACTTTATTTGCATAGAGATAGTTGTCACTTTATCATTCATTCACACGTTCTTATTTTTGAAATTTCAATAGAAGTTTATATATTTTAGCAATCACATGTTCATCATTTATACATAATTTTCAAACTCAGTCTTGCAATATTCACAAGCATAAACTCTTTTGTCTACTTTGAGACTTTCTAATAGCTGTAAATAAGAAAACATTAGAAACTATATCCCTCTGGGCAAAGTTATTCTCTTGATTTTATTCCATAGCCTGTGTTTGATCAAACTCATCCCTTGCTGACCCCAAATAACACTCTAGATCAGGGGTCCCCAACCCCTGGTCCGTGGACCAGTACCAGTCTGTGGCATACCAGCAACCAGGCCACACAAAGCCCAATCCGTGAGATGCAGGCAGCACACAAAACCACACACCCTCTCGTCCTTGGAAAAAACTCTCTCCATGGAACCAGTCCCTAGTGCCCAAAAGGTTGGGGACCTCTGTTTTAGATGTCTCTTTTCATGTATGTCCCAAAGGTGCAGGAATGTAAATCCCTCCATTCCCCACCATCCTGTCAGAGCTGAAGAAGCTTCTTGGATGAGAAGCAAAATATCTTCAAAGAAAAACAAGAAAGTCCAGTTTCCTGTTGAAAAAGCACCTTTGGGACAACCATGACCTGAATGACTGAGAATCTCCACAGACATTCTTCTCATGTATGCTCTCCTTCAGCATTAACCATGGAAGTGATGGGATTCATGGGAAGAGACAGGTCTCAAAGGTGCAATCCAATCCAAGGCCCACAGTTGCCATCTCGTTAATGGCGAGTAAGGCCTCAGTCAGATTGTGCAAGCAGACCATCAGATACAGCCATCAGGTTATAGGACATAATGGTCCTGCTTTAGTCAATAACACCTGAAATATTAGTTTAGGTTCTGGGTATTGCAATTTAAAAAATTAGAATGTACGCAGAGACTACATCAATAAGGGGCCTAGAAATCAATCAAATAAAGAGAAATTGGAAATAGATAACTTTTGCCTGCAAAAGAAAGGATTGAGGAGTGATTTGATAGTCATTTTCCCACTAGAACTGGACAAGTGGGGATGTTCCAGGACCCCTCAGCAAAACAATGTCTCCTGCTGTGGTGTCTGTCATAGCACCCGCCTTAAGAAGAAGCCCCCCTCCATAGATACAGATATCTATGACCTTCTTGGGCCTTCAGGAAAACAGAAAAACCTGGAACTGGCATAGGATGGTTGTTGAATGAGTAAGAGTCTTCAACCTTGTTTTCTTTTTTAAAGGTCATTTCAGTGCACTGTGTTTTTATTTTGTTAGCTTCCTGTGCTAGATGGGTAGTTGTATAAGTTTCTTTAATACATATACTGCGAAGGATTTTTTTTTTAGAACTGTAGGTCTTAAACCAGGGGTCTCCAAGCTTGGCTGCTTTAAGACTTGTGGACTTCAACTCCCAGAATTCTGGGAGTTGAAGTCCACAAGTCTTAAAACGGCCAGGTTTGAAGACCCCTACCTTAAACCATATTAAAACAACCATAAAGAATCTGATTTACATTTTAGGAGACAGAACATCAAAGTATGGAAGATGACATGAAGAGGAGGAATTTTCATTGAAAAGCTGGATTGTTATTTTTTTAGAGGCGCTACAATTCTGAATTTCCTGCAACAGCTAGAAGTTGAACTAGTGAATCTTTGAACTTCTTTCTGTGATTCTGGATGTGGGCAAAGATATTCTTTTCAAATGTTACAAGCTTCCACAAGGTGGTGCTCAAAACATAATTCTCAGGGAAATTATTATTTAATCTAGGTTCATGAGTCATGCACATGCCATGGAAATTGGATGGCTTAGCTGTTTAAATTCAGCGTATCCTACAGAGTTGTTCTGATAAAGATAAAATAAAGGCAGATTCCTAGGTCAGCTACCATGAATTCCTGAAGAAACAGTTATACATCGAATCAATAAATATCAAAGAGTACTCAGTGATAATGACGTGATATTAGTGTATTTTGTTAGTAGAAAAGAGATGGGTCTCATTTGAATGTGAGGATACAAAATTGCTGGCATTTACCTAAAGAAAATGGAGCAGTTTTAAATTACTTCTGTATTGAAAACTGGTAGGATGTAAAGAGCATCTGATCGGAAAAGAACTGTACAGGATGTCGGAGATGTTTGTCTTTGTTAAGAAAATGAGAAAAAGGCACATGGTTCTCCTGTCAGGATATCTGATGACTGAGTTAACAAGATGCTATCTATATTTCACAATAGAAGATAAATGACTAAAAGGAAACCAAGTTCCAGAAAGAACATCTAAGATAGATGGATAAAGAGCAGATTCACATGGCTTATGAGGTGATGATAATACTAGTGCAGCGGTTCTCAACCTTTGTGTGACGGCAACCCCCGTCACACGGACGCAGCGCGCATGCGTGGCGCCGCCCCCATGCGTGGCGGCGGCCCCATGCGCGGTGCACATGCACGGCGGCGCCCCAAGGGGGGAAAATGGCAGATCGCGTTGTTTGGCGACCCCCGTAAAATGGTCATTCGACCCCAAATGGGGTCGCGACCCATAGGTTGAGAACCGCTGTACTAGTGGGTAAGACATAACAAAATGTGCAACTGCAACAAAACTACAATCCCAGCCATTTCAAAATTGACCATGCTGCTCTATTTCATGAGATCTTGAGTGAAACTTTGTTCACAAATCCATCTGGTCTTTCTGCCTGCAGCAAGAGCCTCAAGTGTTTGCAGGATGGTCATCTCAGCTGCTCTATGACATTTCTGAAGTAGAAAGACATAAGGTAGTTGAGATCATAGGACAGTGGTTCTCAACCTTTTTAATGCCGCGACCCCCAACCGGTCGTAAGTCGAGGACTACTCAACTGGTCGTAAGTCGAGGACTACTCAACTGGTGCAGCACCGTTTGAAGAATGGGACTTTTGGCGGGCTCAGCAGGGCAGAGACAGCCTGGACAATTCCTATTGGCTTTTGAAAGCCAATAGAATTAGACTCTATTCAAGAGAGTCTATTCTTTTTTTATTTATTTATTGAAAATTTTTATAAATTTTTACAAAAAAAACAAAATAACAATACAGAAACGAAAAACAACCTATACAGAAAAAAAAACTAAACATGACATAACAAAACTCCCCTTCCCCAACCCCCCCAAAACGCCCACCCCCTTCCCCCCCCCGAGCTTCCCAGAGCAGAATATAGGCTTAATTAAAAAAGAATTAAAAAGTATATATATATATATAAAAAAAAAGAAAATATAACACTGAGATATATGTATATATATATATAAAAATAAAAATAAAAGTTATGAAAAAGCTATGTGATATTTTTTTATATCCAATTTAAATTGTATAAATTTTATCCATTTATCCCAAACAGCAAGAAATTTCTCTTGCGTTTGATCCTTTAAAAAAGCCGAAATCTTTGCCATTTCCGCCAAATAAGACACTTTAAGGAACCATTCCTGCATTGTAGGCAAAGATTCCTTCTTCCAGTATTGTCCTACTAACAGCCTTGTGGCTGTAATCAAATTTAACATCAATATAACCTCCTTTGTATCACAATCAATAACTATGCCTAACAAAAATAATTGTGGAGTAAATTTTATCCTCCTTCTAAAAATTCTCTGAATATTCCACCATATCTTAATCCAAAAGGCTTTTATTTCTCTGCACGACCACCAAATGTGATAATAGGTAGCATCCAAACAACCACATCTCCAACATTTAGGCTGTAAGTCAGGGTACATGAAAGACATTTTTTGTGGATCAAGGTGCCATCTATAAAACATTTTATAAAAATTCCCTTAAATTCTGTGCTTGTGTAAATTTGACATTTCTCACCCAAATGGTTTCCCAGGTAAGAGAGTCTATTCTATTGGCTTTCAAAAGCCAATAGAATAAAAGGGAATAGCACAGCTAAGGAAAAGAGGGAAAAAATGGCAGACTGCGTTGTTTGGCGACCCCCGTGAACTTGTCGTTCGACCCCAAATGGGGTCCCGACCCACAGATTGAGAGCCACTGTCATAGGACAGTGAGGTGGCGCAGCAGTTAGAGTGCAGTACTGCAGGCCACTTTAGCTGACTGTGTTCAGCAGGTCAGCGGTTCAAATCTCACCGGCT